TTGCTTTCAGGCCAGATTGATTGTTTAGGAATAGGGTGTAAAATTAGAAATTACATAAGCAGGGCGACTGCAAACAAAATAGTCATGCAACATTAATGTTGTTCCGTGTGGTTGACCTACTTTCAGCGTATATGAACCAGCAATGACACTCTCTGTAATCAGCCTTAGATACCACTCTATTGATCTCAGTCATATTCCTGCATCCAAAGTCCAACCCCTCATTGATTTAACACCAACCCGTCTTAGTTGGTCAAATATGTGTCTGTGTATGTATTAGTGTGTGCGTGCTTAATCATCTCTGTGTCTGTGTGCATATGTGTGTCGGCTGATCTTTAATGGGGCTGAAGGATAGGCGGGTCAAGCGGGAGTATTCTGCTCACGTGTTAGGGATTGTGATGGCACGGCTGGCTGTGTGTGCATTAAGCTGTTAGTATAGACTAAGCTGAGGGACATGGGGTTAACGTGTCCTCACAGCACCTCTCTGTTTAGTATACGGCTGGATGGAGCCGTATGGGACATACATACAGAGAGATAGAGAGAGAGAGAGCGAGAGAGAGAGAGAGAGAGAGAGAGAGAGAGAGAGAGAGAGAGAGCATCTGTGACTGTAATGCATAGGTTCAGTGACCGTGACAATCAGATTTATTTTAGAAAAGATTTAAATGCAACTTTAATCGCTGCCATGAAGGAAAACAATGTGGTCTGAATGACAGTAAAGCAAGATTTAGGTTGAATGCATGCAGCCATCATTTGAAATAGAAAAATGTGTTTCAAGATATATAGGCCAACGTTTACATCCACTACATCAGTGCAGAAAAAACATACAACATACAAGAAAGAGTGCATGGTGCTTCTCCCTAGATAGATAGATCTAGATACTGTTAAACTTCTATTAAAAGACCATCCCAATTTAAGGCCCAATTCTTTTTTCTCGTCTGGTGTTGCAGCACGTTTTGACAAATACAGGCAGGTCTTAATTCGGGGCCTCAGTGCATTTAGTGTTGAAATAGTTTGCTGATCAATCCTAATTTTGTATCTAATTAAATATTATTTTCCGGTGTAAATTCACACTAGTCAGTCTCATCTTTGCTGTGCATGGGTTTTGTTGGAAAATACTTACAGGCCCGTCTCATTTTGACGCCTGTCCCAAACAAAGGCAGGGTCATATCATAGACCAGTTGTTTCCAAAAGTGGGGATGTGGATCGCTTAGGGAGGTCAGGAACTTTAGATGCCTTCCAAAAAGAACAAAACAATAATAATCTAAACTCATCTTAAATTAAGAAAAAGTCAAAATTGGATTAATGTATTCTGCTTCTAGCCTTTCTTGCAATAAGTTACTTCTCTATATATAATACGTTTATGGTTTTTACACTAATGTTTTCTTTTGTGTTGTCATTTTGTGTTAAGATAGATCTAATAGTGCACTAGCCAACATTATGCCTTAAATACTTTCAGGGACAGTGGGGGAAGGCCTCCCAGCAGCAGTATGGTGCCTAAAGAAGTGGTATACTCCTGTTTTGGCCCGTCCTCTGTTATTAACAGTAAAATCTAGTTATTGCGCCGTAATTGCCAATTAAATACAGAGTAGGGAGGGTCATCCCTTCACCATCATAGGAAAAACAATGCAGCTTGAATATTGTCCATCAATCAGTGGTGTGAATCAGAGGGGATTTTGAAGTGGGTATATCCTATGGAGACTGAAAAATAAGTGAGTAGGCCTTTACTCAGTATACCCTGTCTGTACTAGGCTAAATCACTCAATTTGGGGGTCGCAAGCATGCGGTTACATGTAATGGTTGTGAGCTGAAAAATAAGACAGAGTTTACTGTAAGTAGACAATCTGCTGCCCCCGTGTGGCTAATTTAATTACTACAACTCAGAAACAATAACACGATTCACTACCCAGGCATTTTAAGTCAACACTTTCAGGGGCGAAGTAGCTCGTCGTGCTGTCACTCTCATTTGAAACATTTATCAATATTTACTACGTTTGAATACAAGTAATGGGTATATTAATGGGGCTAGGTTGTTACGTGTTGGTATCTTAAATGTATCTTAGAGTTAGCGTCTAATAAGAGGTGTTGCTTCACCCTGCTAGCTCGTGTCATCAGGGCTAAAGCTGAAGCTAACTTTCACATATTATCTTAACTATCCATCAGATAGGCAACTCTCATGTCACACTTTTTGGCTTTTGTATCGTTTCATGGACTAAACCCGGTTTATTTCACCACACGCCGTGAAGGCGGTACCATCCGGTCCCATGGTGTAATGGTTAGCACTCTGGACTTTGAATCCAGCGATCCGAGTTCAAATCTCGGTGGGACCTCATCCTTTTCCCCATAAAAACCGAAAAACGAACCAATGGTTTATAAACAGAAATCTTATCCACCAATAACCACAGCACTACCCCTGACAACATGTATCTCCCTCTTCATATTATATTCTGGCTGAGGGGAGAAATTCCTAAATGACACCAGTTATCTAAACGATAACATGCTCCAGATTGACCTCTCTGCTATAGGTCCTGCCAGCCCCCCATGACCCCATACCAGTGGTGTAGTGTAAGTTATCCAGAGTATACCCACTTATTTTTCAGTGTCCATAGGGTATATCCACTTCTAAATCTCTTCTGATTCACACCATTAATTGATTGACCATATTCAGTGTGTGATGCTGCAAATCCTAGGATGATGAAGGACTGACCCTCTTTACTCTGTCTCTAACTGGCTAGCAGGCGTACTTTCTAAATATGCAAGAGGGGTCTTATGTCACCGGTAGTAACAGAGGTCATTTGTCCTCCGCTGGATGGGAAAACCTTATTTGAGCAAAATCACTACGTAAAATCTCAAGCTTATTTTAACTTCTTAATTTACTTCTAGACTCGTGTTGAACAGACATCTGCAGAAACAGTGTTGGGGCTGAGAGGAGACAGAGGGAGATGCAGGAAGAGAGATGAATAGATGTAAGCCTATAGCTACAATACCAGTTATAATTGATAAAAGTATGTGTCGTATAAGCTGTAACAACAACGATAATAAACTGATCAGTCTAATATCAACATTAAAAACTTTAATGACAGTTACAGCCGGTTTTTGAATATATAAATAAATACTTTCCTCACATATCTAAAGCAGCAGTGGCAACATACTAACTACTGACAATGCTGTTAAGACATTCATCACATCTCTAAGAAAAACATTTAAACTGAATACCAAATGTGAATGTTCAAACAACTTTATTTCCACACATAAATGGCAGTGCTGACATTTATTTACAGTGAATTTCGGCTTGACTAAACATGTATTTTGATGTTTTATTGGAATGTTTCTCAAATTTATTCATAAATATCCATGAAAGCTGTTTTAGTGTGCAGGTTGGGATACTTGTAAAGCGCTCTTTAACATCACCTTTCCCCTCCTATTCATCTTTTTTTATTGTCTTTTCGAGGGCGGGCCGTGCAGTATTCACATTACAACATCTGTATTTCCAGAACAAACGTAAAAACAAACATCATATACATGCAGCTACATCACTTTTCAGAAGAACAGGGGATTCTTTTGGTGTTGCTTGCAGGTGTGCATGCAGCATGGTACATTTGCATCGGGAAAACATATTAAATAATGTATGAAGTGGTGGCACATTTCAGTTCATCTAAAAAAAGCATACAAAAAATAACAGTACATACCATTGAAAACACATTTTAACAGCCAAAACAATAAAAATGCATCATGTGAAAAAAGCAGTCGAACACTATGATGAAAACAGTCTTTGCTTTTTCACTAAATTTAAATGTTCTGTCTGCATAAAATACATTCACCACCACAATATATCAAAATGTATAAAACCAAATGTGTAGCTCTGTTTTGATTTTAAAGTTTCAGTGTTTAAAGCTCTGTAACTGATTCTTTTCTCTAAAAGCACACGTGCACGCACTCAACACAAACACTATTACACCTGTTTCTTCCTCTGTCTGTTCAGTGTGCATTTTTTTTTTGTTCTTGCAAAAAAATCTCCCGGCCTTTTGTCTTTAATGGACTGAATGACGAGAAAGACTGAGATTGCAGCACTCCACGGCTCCATTATCTCTGCACCAGTAATTCTCTTGTACTCAAACATCTCCTCACAGTTTGAATGAGTAGAGTTGTAATGCACAATGTTCAGCACATAATTCAATTCCAGGAAGCATGAATACAAATCACATAAATGCAGTATGTGGTAGCCAGGGTGTTATACTATGGAGAGTGTAACATACATGTTGCTGTCGTTTCATTTCCTACTTAATTACATGGAAATAACTATGTAAATAAAGAAAGTCAAAAGCCCTTTTTTTTACATTTTACATTCAATTTTTGTTATGAGGTCTTTTTAATAGAGTAAACTTAAGATTGGTGCAAACATGGCCTACACAGTGACCAGAGTCTTTAAAACACTTATTTACAGAGTTAGCATTGGGATTAGTGTCCAAACTTCATAATCACCTTTTATTTATTATTTTACCGACCAAAACACAAACTAAAGAAATACCGACGTTCAAAAAAAAAAAAAGGTGTAAAGGTCATATATTATGCAAAATACACCTTACCATGTTTTTCTAACACTAATATGTGTCTCTAGTCTGTTTACAAGTCCCCCAATGATGAGAAAAGTCCATCCTCTCCGTCTTTTGCCTGCTCCACTTTGCAGAAAATGTGTGCTCAAACAGGCCGTTTGGAGATTTTCCCTTCATGACATCACAAAGGGCAGTAGCCCCTCCCCCAGGTGGGTGACACTCCCACAGGTGTTTGTTCTGCCCTCTGAGTCCGCCGTCTCACCGTAAACAATAGGACATGGAGCGAGAAACCCCGAGCCACTCAAGTCCTTCCAGAGAGGGGGCGTGGTCAGACACAGCTCATTTACATATTTAAAGCTACAGACACAAAAACAGCCTGTTCTGAGCAGGGCTGAAATAGAGGGCTTTATAGGCATGATCAAATACAGGATCAGAGTGGATTTAGAACAAGAACGTTTACAGACATGTTTCGGGGAGCTCTGAGACTTCTTGAAACTGAAAAGGAGGATAATATGTGACCTTTAAAGCTTTTAATTTGGCGGACACACTTAAACTGACAGAAATGTTAAAAGGCCTAGTTTAGCACCCAGAACATTTTTTTTTCATTGAGCCTGTAGTATTTACAACTCAAGAAATGCTGGGGGTAAATGTACTACTATTTATCTGTTCTTCTGTGTCAGCTTTTTAAAGTAATTTAGTGGTTTAGTCTAATTAACAGGGTCAACAGGCCATGGTTAGCCTTCAGCTAAGCCTTTAGTTGTGACTTCCTCACAAGCTAGATGTTTACTGTGTTATCTATCCTGCTTTAACTTATGTTACTTTCTGTAACAGAAGAGGGTGCTCACCGTCTCCCTACCATGCCTTTTTTTTTTATTCATTCTACACCTCAAATGACTCATTATAAAACTCATATCCCTTACATATCACTAAAAAATTTGAAATTTGAACACTGTGCTCTTCAATCTTTGATATTTAAAACAGCAGGTTAGGAACTTTGCTCCTGTCTCAATTCTAACATCAAATACATTCTTCAAGCCAAACATAAAGAAAGAAAGAAAGAAAGAAAGGAAGAAGGATTACTTCACCCTCGTTACAAAATGCATGTACAAAAACACACACGACTGCTTTCTCTTCATTGTGTGTATGTGTGAACATCACATAACTTTTAAGTGCTTTTCAAATATTCTGCACATACTGTACAACACCACCCAGTGTGCTTCACCTTTTTTTTGAAAAATCACAGACAACCTTTCCATTTCTCCGTCCTCTCCGTCTTTCTGCATCAACATGTAAGTGAACGAGTGTTCGTGTGTTTCTTGAACAACAGTCTTCACCTCACTCAGATGTCGGTGGTCTCCAGCTTGTTGAGCATGTCCACTTCCCCGTTGCTCTTCTGCTGCTCCTCGGACACGGCGTCGCTGTTTACGTGTTGCGCAGAGGGCAGGGCGGCAGGTTGCTCCAGGCTCATGGTGACCCGGCTGGTTTCTGTGATGGAGGAGTTGTGGTGGTAGCTGTAGTGGTTGTTGGTGATGGGCGTGTCTCCCCAGCCGGTTTTATCCCAGGCAGACTTCCACTGAGCCCACTTCCTCCTCAGAGCTGTCTGCGCCTGAATGTAAACAATGATGATTGAAATGTAAGTTTTAGACTTCTGTACATGTCTTTACTTGAATATGACACAACAGTTTACATGATCTATGTGAGGCTCCATTAACTAATGTAACTATATTCTTAATTTTTGGGAGAAGTTTTTATGTATAGCTATGGCTATGGCGGGTTGCTAATGGCCTAGCTGCTGGGTTGTGCCCCATGTGCGGAGGTGTAGTCCTCCAGACGGGCGGCCTGGGTTCAAGTCTGATATGCAGTTCCTGTCCTGCATGTCATTTCCCACTCTCTACAGATTTCCTACTCTATCCACTCCTTAATCAAAGTAAAGACAAAAGCCTAAATAAAGAATCTATGAACAAAAATACACATGTTTTTCTCTGGTTCTGCAATTACTAAGCTTGTGTTCGAGTGACAAAAAAAAGTTTTTCTCTCAACTTCCAATTAAAGTATTCTCATTTCGGTGTTTTCTTTGAAGAAACTGACAACTAGTTAAGACAACAAATAGATGCAGAATTAATCAGGCTGCAACAATTCAATGAAAAAGTTCACATTAATTTTTTCAACAACTGACTCTTATCCTTTTAATATGTGTGTTAATCGCAGCTTTCCCGTCTTGTAGTATGCTCTCCACCCGTCTCTCACAATGCTGTTGGGCAACGTTATTCCACTCTTGGCAAATCATTCCCTCAATAAGTCAAATGAGCTGTGCTTGTGTTGAGATTTAACTGGAGCGAGAGATGCCTCCATGCATGTAGTGATGCTGATTTAAGAAACCTTTGGAGTGGTCTCTTAACTTCTGTATTTTATGTACACTAGATATGATGTTTCTGAGTTTCAACTCACCTCAGCGTTGCAGAAACAGAATATAATAGCCACCAGGAGTCCCTGCAAAGTAACAGGACACAGATTAAATATTAATGTCGGTGAACAGATGTCGGTGAAATGCACTAAATAATTCATGTAGATGATCAGGAAATGTACGCACAAATCACACATGGTTTCTTTTACTCTGCTTGTTGCATGTGACACTGACTATTACAAGTAGCCAACTTAGCTGATATTAACACAAGGCTCTGAGTGTCTATTATTAGAAAGCAAGAGTGGCTCTATGATGCCTTGTATTGTATAATGTTTCAAGTCATTTGTAAAAAACAAAATCTTGTTTAAAACGGCATGAATATGAAATACCCTGTAAATAGAGTGGTCCTCTAGACGTGGCGGCCAGAGTTCGGGTCCGACCTGTGGGCCCCTTTCCCGCTTGTCATTCCCCTCTCTCTCTCTCTCTCTCTCTCTCTCTCTCTCTCTCTTCTGTCCACTGTCCTGTCTCTAAGTAAATGCATGAAAAATGAAGAAGCCTTCTTCCCTTCATCCATCCACCCTCAATATTCTGCTCAATCAAACCTCGCTCATCATTTTGATCTCCGCCATGCATATCCCAACAAAACTATTCTAAATCAATATCTTTAGGAAAAACCTCCAGGTTGTACAAGTGAAGTTGACTTTATAAAACTTGTGTCTGATTTGAAGGAGAATCAGTTGCAAAGTAAAACATCCTTAAATCAAAAACTCTGGTGTGCAGTTTGTTGTTGACCGTACCTGAAAGTGGCAGAAGATATTCACAAAGAACTCATAGATGGCCCGGCTGATGCGTTCCCCGGGCCTCCAGGGTAAGAGGACGTACTGGACTCCCAGCAGAGGGATGAGGATGAGGGTGGCTCTCACGGCCTTCATGTAGGCCGTGGACTCGGCGCAGTGAGTCTCCCTCAGCTTCATGATCAGGACCCGCACGATGTTCAGGAGGAAGAAAAAGTTTACCTGGGACAGACAGAGATGGAACACAGTTCATTGTATGGTGAAGCTTAAACACAGGGCGCATCTTTGCAGTCAGTTACAATGACTGGCCTCATGGTGGCACTATAACAACACAGTCTAATTACAGGAAGGTAGTCCCTTATTGCCTCTTCTCCTGCAACTCAACATGCAATTTAAATGATAAAAGCCCATATTCATCCTGATGAGTATTTGTTTTTAATATCCTGTGTAAAGAAACATTAAACCAATTTGGGCCCAAAATAGGAAACATGTTTTCCCTGCTATAAACACAACCTCACTTCAGTCAGACAACTCATGTTTGTATCCAGTTTGTGTTTGGTGTCTAGGCTCCACCCTAATAACTCCTCCCAGTTTTTAATTTTCATGCATAAATTTGAGGAGTGATGGGATGATATCTTAAACCCTCCAGTATGAGCCTACAGGTGGATGCTCGGGGGTTGGTGGTGTTGCTGAGTGAGAGTGCAGTACTGCTGCAGGTCAGAGGTGACAATGAAAGAGCCGGGGATGATTACTCACAATCAGTGCAGCCTGAATGGGCCCATGAGTGATATAGACCAGTTGTGTGTTAGAGCTGATAAAGCACCTGGAAGAAAACACCAAAGTGAGAAAAGAAAACACAGACACGTTTCTTGCTACGATTCAGATGCACAGTGGCACACCGAAGCCTGACGGCGTGATTAAAGTCTGAATTATTCATGGGGGTATTATTGACTCAGCAAAAAATAATAAAGGGCTCACACTAATACCGCTTGATGGGGCAAATCAATATCTTTCATTTCCTCTCAGTGTCAAAGTGCTCAGACACAGTAAAAGAAAGTCAAAGGAGGGACAGAGAAGAAAAAAAAAACCTCCAGGCTGCACAATTTAAGCTTCACACTCGTGACAACAAAAGAAGAGTAAGCATCGTACTGGTCATTAAAGTAGATTCCACGTGCCACAGCATATGTTGCGGCAGGAACGATGGGAAAACCTTTGAGAAAAGAGAGAGACAGACACAAATATCAAAGAGATATCCTGAATCTCCACGGAAACATAACAAAATCTTAGTAATGTGTTTTTGATAAACAACACAGTTATTTAGGACTTAAAAGGAGCAAGATATCTACTGAATGAAATGATAAAGTGATCTTACTATATGATCAGACATTAAGGAAACATGATATATTGAAGTGCTGGCTTCTCTGACAACAATGCAGCAGCCAGTATGTCCTCCTTCTAACTTTCAGATTCTGCTCCTGAATGCTCTGGATTTGTTTGGACCAGAGAAGGTAGGCGCTTTTAAGGCACACCCCCACACGGCCGTTTTGGACGCCCCTCGGTTTGCCAGATATGAGAGCAGTTATCAGGTCAAAGCAACAGGTGTTGCAGCGATGGAAGCGGACAAGAGAAGTGGTTCAGATAGAAGTGATTGTACCCGACCTAAAAAGCCTCTGCATGTTTATAATAAGCTCCACGAGCAGAAACGTGCTCAAACTAGGATCAATGTTGGAGATGCTTTTGAAAAATGGAGAGAGGTTAGAACACAGAAAGGTTTACAGACCCATGCAGAGCTGGCTAAACACTGAAGCTTTAGTGTTCAGCACATGGCAACCTGCTATGTCTCTTATAATTGGTGAGAGTTGAGCTGTCCCTATGGAGGGCATCTGGAAGTCTGTGAGCTGTGAATCGACACAGACGGAACAAACTGTGAGCCTGAATCCTCGGGATAACAATGTGAGGTGAATTGTTAAAAAGCGTTCTTTTTCTATTAGTAGGACCAGCCTGTGAACCTGTGTTGGTCAGGGCAGTAAGCTGCATACTTTTATACCTCACAAACACGGCAGAGAGAAAGACACTACTGCACCTTTGAGTGGCTCATTTCACTTTATAAAACTTGCAGACAGCTCAGGGAACATTTAAAAAAATTTCATTTTTAATCTTCTCTGTTGTGGTAGTAGGTAGTAATATTTCCCGAGGCCTATAGCCGAGCCTGTGTTCTTTACGTCATTATCCTCTTAAAATTACATGTAACAAAAACTTTTCCAACATTTTTATGTTTTCAGCAATGTTTCTTTTGGCCTGTTTGTTTCTGGCCAAATGTAAAATGTACAAATAAACAGCTCAAGGTTATGTTATTAAAAAGCACACTCTCAAGATACATTTCCTGACTTTAGACACACTGCTTTTTAAAAACTGTTAACCTCAAAATTGAGATAAAAAGTAAATGTAAGATATACAGTAGAACATGTTGGACGCTCTTTACAGGCAGGCTATACCGTCAGATATAAAGAAAATAAGATGTGAGCTATAGAGAGACATGAAAGGATCCATTAGCTGCATGCATGAATGAGTGCAGAAAATGAAACGCCCACTCATCGATGTAAAAGGACATGCAGGCTTCAAGGTCACATCTTTGTATTAAATGAAGGGTAAAGGTACTAAAGGTTGAAAACTGATGTTCTCAATGCAACAGCAACATTCAAGACTAAAATGTAGTCACAAATGCCAAGTGCTCTCACATATTCAGGAGGTGAACTTTCCAATAAATGTTTTGCGCTTCCATTTTTAAGAATTAACATTCAGCTTAGAAACAGGATCTGTTGATGGTAATGCATTTTCTCTTTAAAAAAAAAAATCCTGATTAGTTTTGAATCGTTTGTATATTTTAGAAACTAAAATCTGCCTGTACTTTGCAATAATCATCTTATAGTCGATAGGCGCCTCTGGAAACTGACGCCGTTCATTTCTGTGTAGCATTTAACGACTTCCAGACCTGACCTTTCGGCCGTGTGGCGTTTACGTCTGCGATGTTAACACCTTCAACTCTTTGTCTATAACATCCCAGAGTAGCACCCGTTCATCTGTTGAGTCTTCAGCGGTAGAATTGAGCTTTACTGCGGCTTCACTCGGGCTCACTTCAGAAGTATGACCCCGATAAAGAGAAGCGATTTCGACGATGATTTTGACAGTTTTTTTTTTTTTTCTCAAAATGTCTTCCTGATTTATTTGATTATCTGTGACTGATTCCAATCACTGCCTTCCTTATTTATTGTATTGTACTACAGGAGACGGTTACAAGTTGGTTCATTGTTTGAGGAGCCTCTTTCATGTTAATGCGTTTTCTCTTGAACTCACCCCATCCCAGGACGTAGTACCAGAAGAGCTGCTGCTCCCCGACAAACACGGCCACTATGATGAGTGTGTGGAGGTAGATGCCCTCACACAGCATCCAGAAGTAGTTTGAAGTGGACAAGTACTGAATCAGCACAGCCAGGACTTTACAGCTCACCTGACGACAGAGATGACGACACATCAAAGTATAAAGTCGATGCAGGTTTTTAAACCCTAAAAGTACGATTAAATACTTTTAGTTTGAGTTGTGCAAGAAGACATGGGTTACAATCAGAAGAGTAGAAGGAAATTCTTGAGCGTCAGCCCCTCCACAGATGGAGGTCAGTGCGCTCAGAAAAGGACGGAAGATGTCAAAAATAATGTCATTCCAACAGGCAGAATCCAAAGAAAGTACTGGAGCACACAAACCACTTACAGAAAATGTATTTATGTGCAAAGGACTAACGTATCAACATGAATTAGCTGTTGAAGGCTTTAAAGTTAAGTGTAGAACCATTTTAACCATGAAGACATGAGGCAATCAAAGTGAAATCAATTTGTGTATTCAGATTTAAAAAGACAGCTGAAAGGTAAATTCAGTGGCTCACGGGGTTGTTGGCATGTATGGCCTGGGTGTTGGCCACAGTGACCGAGAGCCAGATTATGGTGAAGATGGAGTTCAAGATGAAGGAGAGAAACATGTTTTTGTGGAGCGAGATCCTCTGGCAACTGAGACTCCTGGAAGACAGAGAAAAACGGGGAAGGTAAGGTTGATTTCAAAGCCAATGTTTCTTTGAAGTCTTGGTGAAGGTAATGTTCACAAAAACAAATGCTTCACTTGTACTGTTAAAGGGCAGGGTTGGTCAATTTTCCAAAACTAGCATGATTTTGAAAGTAGCATTCCCTCAGGGCTACATCTGCACCCACCCCCTCCCCTCTGTGCTCCCTCTAAAGCCACGCCCCCTCACTTACATGCACGAGCGCCGTTGCTCCAGAAGTGGACCTGAGCTCATCTCTTGCATTGTGTAGAAACTACGTCGTAGTGACGTAATGACTCATTCAGCGCTAAGTAAACTCTCAGTATAAACTCTGTCATCGGTGATGTGCTTTGAGTGTGGGCTAGTGCATGCACGGGGTAGAGAACGAGCAGGGAGACAGGGAGGCGTGTGATTGGTTCATCAGATTGGTACCTCGTGGCAGACATTGGTCGACGTTTTTACAAGTTTACAAACTGCTACAGATTACGGATTTTCTTCGTTCCTTTTTCAGAGAACATGAGTTATTAATCTCTGTCAGGACCTAAAGACAAGTTCAACCAAAATCTTAAAAAAATGTATCTGGAGAAAATGACCATCCCCGCCTTTAAGACCATGAACATTGTAGAAATGGAGCCATTTGGAAATTATAGATCTCAGTCATACGGTTAAAATAGAATCAAAGTGATATTCCTAATAGGATGGGAACATCTCTGACCAAACCAGATGTGATTTCGAGACCACATTATTTTCTCCATAAATGTGTCTGCACACAGACAGCTCACGTGTAGGTCAAATATGTAAAGACCGATGGAGTGTTAAGTTACGATCAGACATTTAAAAACCCAAAGACTCACTTGAAGTAGGAGAAGATGATGAGACAGATGGTGAGGGAGACAATAGAGAGGCAGTGACCCACCATGGCCAAGTAGTACAGACTGTAGGCAAACTGCAGAAAACAAGAACAAAAGGGGGATTTATTTAAGACAGACACACACATACATGCACCACCTATTAAGAACAGCTACCCTGAAAGTCAAAGGTTGTAACCTCCAGCACAGTAAAGCTGGTGCATTGCCAAGATTTTATGACATGTTCATCGTTGCCTCTTTGCAGCATGAAGCAGGAAGCAAAGGAAACATCTGTGGAGAATAAGAGCCTTCTGGGGAAATTCAGAGTGTTTCCTGAATGGTCGAGAATAAAGATGCACATGAGATAATAAATCCTACGTTGGTTAAATGACGCCGCACTTGAAAGCATCAATGAAAGTCTGTTTATTATCATGAAGCGTCTTGTTTTGCAGTGCTCTCATTGCAATAAATGGACTTCAATTTTATGACACCTTTTTTTAGTCTCCCGACCAATCAAAGAGCTTAGCACTACAGATCATGCATGCACTTATCCGCTAATGGAAGAGGCCATAGAGAGAACTCAGACACACACACACACACACACACACAGTCCTATTTGAATACATAATTGCAAGACAGGATAAGAACTTTAGGATTCAGTATCTCACCAGAGGACACTCAGACATGAGACAGGAGGACCACTTGAACTGTTCAGTTTATGATAAGTGGACGACTTGATTCTCTGTCTCCTGAGCTACAGCCAAATCTTATATGACCCAATAAAACTCAAAATCTTAACTATTTTAAAATGTATAAAAAAAAAAACATTGGTCAAAGGAGCCAAACTAAATGTTCCACATTGCTGAACATTTAAAATCCTTGTTTTTTTTCCACCCTGAAGTCTCACTGCTTTGTGTTTACCTTGAGTTTGTCTTTGGTGTGGGCTGAGCACTGGGTGTAGTTAGTCCAGACTCTGTTGCTCTCCGGGTGGTGAAACCACTGGCCATCAGAATTACACACTTTGGTTACCTTCTCTGTTGAAAACATTATAAATACAAAATGACATATAGTGCATGTGTTTGTGCAATATGTGTGAGTGTGTATGTGTGTGTGTATTACAGCCTCACCTGCAGGGTCAAAGTCGAGAAAGTATTCTGGACACATCTGCATGACCATCCCTGGAGCTGTATCCCCCCAGCACAGCCAGCCGTCCCATGTGCGGTTACAGAACGTACCTATAGAGGGCAGCACGCGCATGAACTTGTAAAGCTTGCAGACACTCTAAACTCCACAGACGTGTTCATGAGTGTGTCTTCAATCAAAAAAAATCAGCATAAATCAAAACAAAAATACATCGCTTCTGTGGACATAAACTCCCAACTATTGAACTATTATTATCTGTCTTTCAGTAAGAAATGTTTACAAGGCGAAAATTGTATTCAAGTGAATCTTTGAAACAGATAGAAATATCACGTTTACATTACTTTATAATTAAACTGACTCTATCTTTCTGTTTTCATATGAAAGATGGAAGATGTCATATTTTGAGCGACATATTCAAACAGTATTACCTCATCATAGTGAACCCTTCAGAGCAAACGAGAAAAGTGAATCCCTATCATATGATTCAATCAAGCAAGTTAATCAAGCAAATAAATTACAGGTTTTAAAGTCTTTTGTAATGAATTATAATCTAACATTTAAAAGTAACAGCTGTGGGGCACTGGCAGTAGTGTGGTTAGGGCATGCGCTCCATGTACAGAGGCTATGGTCCGGGTTCAAATCCGACCAATGGCTCCTTTGCCGCTTGACATTCCCTACTCTCTCGCTCCCTGATCTCTATCCACTTAAAGGCATAAAAATCCCCAAAAATAAATCTGGAAAAAAAAAGTAACATCTGTTTAATAAGTCCATGCTATCAGAGGCTCACATGTTAACAGACAATCATTTAGATAGTAAACTTTTTACATACTTAATAAACTCTGTGGCAGGTTGAATCACATAAATTTTCTATTCAACATATGTGGTGGGTCATATTTAAATAAACTACGTCTCTAACTGCAAGCACAAAGCTTGTCAACAATGGACGGAAACCTGGCGGTACCAGGTTGCACCGTGGCATGTTGGGAAACAAAGCAGAAAATAACATTTCAAAGCAGTGAATACTGAGCAGGTTGAAAAGTCAGAGGGAAAGAGACAAAGGGCAAGTTTCCTTTCTTTCAAACTCACTTCCTCCCTCGCTCTCTCTTATCGCTGCAAACACTAAACTCTGTCATTAGGCGCAACCAGTCACACATACAAATAAATCTGCATTCACACAAACCTGAGAATTAAGACAAACAAAGTGCACAAACACCAAAATATTGACTAAATATTTCAGTATGCAATAAATCAAGACACTGATTGTCACAGCAGCACACAGATTCGGGAAATGCTAAATGGCTTGTATAGTGCTTTTCTGGTCTCCTGACTATTAGGTCACACCTACCCCAGGCTGCTATGTACAGTGTCCATCATTATCTAATCCATTCAAACACATCAAACATCTCTGATGCAGTAGCAGAAAGCACTTTTGGGTGTGGCTGCAGAAGCTGGGGATTGAACCCCCGATTTCAGACGAGTGACAACCGACTCTACCAACTGAGCCACAGCCGATTTTGCCAGCAACACTGACATGAATGGGCTAAAACATAAACACAGTATACCTTCCATAAATAAAATATGTAAGGTGGAATTTTGTCCGAGTATTGCTTAATGTAGGATTTCGGCTGTTGAACAGTTCAGCGTCTCCTTTGTCGTCATGCACGATTCATGATGCACCAAATATTTTCAACAGGTGACAAGTCAGGACTGCAAGAAGGCAGCATTACCACCCTATTTGTACAGAGATATACACATTTGATGAGATGAATGAATTTTGATAAGATGAAGAGTCAAAGGGGTCACCGGAGTATTCATTATCATTCTAAGGGCTCATTCTTTTTGTGCCTTTAAAGAGGTCATATTATGCCCTTTTTGGGGTTCGTATATTTAATCTATGTACCTACTAAAGTATGTTCACAATAGCTAAAGTTAAAAAAAAGTGTCTGTTTTCATGAACTGCCGCTCCATGCACCGGCTCGCTTCTGACTCTCTCTCTAAGGCTCTGAAGTGCCCACGTTCAGAGTCCCCACATGTGCCAAGTCTGATCTGATTGGTCGGCCTGTCGGCTCTGCAGTAATTGGTCAGTTGCTCAGCACGGTTCTCGTAAATGTCCCGCCCCTTTTACCATATTGGGAATGCAGCCACTCTGGCTCCAAGGGAAGCAAAAACATTAGCACCTTAGCACTACTGTGCTACCGCAGGCTACGGCATATCGTGTGCGTGCAACATGAGCTGCTGGGCTTGCCACAACGAGCCAATGGGCTTAGATCAGTGATATTACACTGACAATGACGTCACACTGGCAAAATGTTTTCGAGGGGGGCTAGAACCGAGCGTTACATGCAGCTAATGCTGCAGCTAACAGGAGGACGTAGGAGAAGCCTACGTCATGTGTTTGCGTAATTAAAAGGGGGCATGAGGTGTTGTGTCATGTGTATTTACACATGGACTACAGATATATATGTATTGTAGTAGCTCACTGTTAATATCGTGGTAACACTATAGAGTCAGAGAAATGCCAAAGTCTGTCTGATCACCTTGGGACCACAAATCATTTTTAAATTGTATTTAACTTAGGAGACACATTGTAGGCTAATATTAGAATTAAACATGTTGGCTGCTAAAGACAGAGCCCATAAAATAAATGGCGAGGCTATCAGAACGAGGACAATGAAAATGAAATTAGTAGTAAAACGATATCCTGTGATTGAATTTCCCCTCGTACATTAAGTGACTGAACTTGCAGAGGGAGTGATTTACTTCAATCGGCTTCAGCAGCTTGAGCCGCATTATGTGATTACAATTTATCTCCATCCGCCAGAAACAAAACGTGTTAATAACATTAGGGAGTGTTAGCTCCAGAGGGACGACTCTCTGTTAATACAGAGAAAACAATAGGAGCAGTTTTTTTTTTTTTACCGTCATCTGTGCGAGGGGGATCACGGATTATCTTCAAGTAACACTCAAACTGAGCAGCGAGGATCTGTTGTCGGGACATTCCCGGCGCTTTTGATACGTTGCTGATATTCTGCTCCTCCAACGTCGTCCCGACAGCCCCCGTGGTCCCCACATCCTCTGACCGAGACACCTGTGGAGAAATGTGTGATCTGCATATTAGAGAAGCTGAGACAGAAAATATCTCTTCCAACATTTCAAGGTTTGTCAATGAATAAACGAGGGAGGGCTACGCATTACTTCAACAAGCCTGCACATGTGAATGAACTCACCTCTGTACCCAGCGCCAGTGCAACTATCCATGTCAGGGTTAGAGTCTTCCACATGTTTCTAAAAGGAATACAGGAAACACAGATAATACAGTTATTTGTTATTTAACTTTGTGACCGTCAAGAAACTTTTTAGTTAAACATGTAAGAATCTATAGGTAGATTTAACTGGTAATAATGGCAAACACAGAGCACCATAGCATCCTTAAATGTGTGTGCGTTATTGTCAAATTGTTCAGTCTGGTTGCACTGACAAACAAGTCCGCCAAGCAGGCAGCAAAGTGGGTTTAAATCCCACCAGTGGCTTGTCATTCCCCACTCTCTCTCTCCCTACTCAACCCACTGTCCTGTGTGAATAAAGGCAAAAAAGCCCAATAATAATAATTAAAAAAACAAGTTCAGTCCAACTCTTTTTACACTCAATGGCTGCCATGACAGTCATTTGATGATTAAAACTGAACTAATGTCCGTCCATCCATTTTCCTCCGCTCTTCCCGGACCGGGTCGTGTTGGCAGACCTGCAAGTTGGCCCTCTCCCCAGTAATCTTGTCTACCTCCTCCTGGGGGAACCTGAGGCGTTCCCAGGCTAGAAGGGATGTACAGTATAATCCCTCCAGTGGGCTCTGGTGACTAGGAGGCATCCTAATCAGATGATTAAAGACCGCCATCGTTGGGACTACAAACCAGTAGATGACATCACTGAGACTACGTCAGTGTTTTACACAGTCTGTGGGGCCGTGCATGTAAGGTGACCACCTCATCATTGATTTTCAAGCACTTTTTTAAGCAGGTTTGTTCGGTCACATGTTTTGTACGAGTTCACCCGCACCATTTTTCATTAAATAATCTGATCGATTGAAAAAATAATTTGGGTGGCTATTTCTATAAAGGAGATGATGGTGCGTCCTGAGGCTTGACCAGCTGAACCACTGTCTTAAATAATCATCAGAAGTTTGGAGTTACTTACATCACACACAATACTGTTAATCTCCATTTACTGGATACAATCAAGTATACAACTTTTACTACTCAGGTTTAGTTTTAGCTCCTGAAGATATTTTGTGTGGTCTTGTATGTGTTTATTTACAGTGTGGGTACTTTCTCATGTATCAGAACAGGAAGTTCACACTCCACCAGTCATTCCCCTCCACTGTCCACTCAGGGTCACACACACAGATGTGTGTTTGTTATGATTTTGGCCCCCGTTAGGCTAAAGGGGCGGCAAATTCCCTTTAGCGTTTCCTCTAGAGCCCCATGAAACAACCAAAGATGAAAAAAAATGTAGAATAAGGAGACATGAGAGGCGAAAATCAGAAGAATGTGCAACATTTTACACATCAATAAAGCAGAAATCAAATATATCCTCTGTGAATATCTCTGAGTCATGACTGTCTATAATGAGTGAGAAGCTCGAGTCTCGCTGGCTGTGTTGTTGTCAGAGCCGTGTTTACATGGACGGGACAGCTGGCAGCTCTAGTTACATATAAATGCTGTTTTAGTCAAGAGACTAGAGAAAACAAGAAAAACAGCCTACTCACTGCTCATTGGATGTCATGTAAGAGTTTTTAGATGACGCTCATACTGTGTCAATTTACTGTACACGCAATGTGAAGCTACGAGTTAACCAAAGTGTGCTAACATTAGCCTGCTAACACAACAATGCAGACCACAGGTAATCGCAGCTCGAGCCAGGGACAATTTTGTCCGCTGCTTGACTCCTTCATGGAAACGCGAGTGGACAGGGGTTGGAGGTGTGTCGCTGAAGGAGAGCGGAGTTGTCACCAAACAGCAGTTTGTTTTGGTTTCATACTAGTGCTCAAGGGCGACTTCTACTGGATCAAAAAGTCGCAAATTCTTCCTTTTAACACAACATGCTACAAAAAGGAACTTTTTCTTCCCTATCATTTTATTTTCCATGATTTTAAAACATGTTTTGCAGAACATATGTTTAATATTTAAATTGAAACAGTATTTCGTTTTCTAAAGAAAAGTGGAAAATCAAAAGAAAAATGACGCATGAGGGCAAATACACAAACACATTTTTGTTAACATTTAAGTGGTTTGCAATTGTCAAACTACAGAAAGAGTAATTAATTCGATAAGTGTGGAGGAAATGTAAGTTGTATCCTAGGGGCTTGAGCAGATATTTGTCTAAAGTGGTCACATCTTAAAATGATGCCAACGATTTCTTCTTTGAGTCCAGGGTAACATAAAAACATTTAGATTCCTGGAAAGATGAGTGGAGAGTTAAAGGAGAAGGATAAGTGGAAATGTGCGTCAGGGGTGTGAGGGTGTCGGGGAGCCATGCTTTGAATACAGAGCCAGAGATTCTGAGCACATGCGTGTGATGACAGAGAGGAAAGACGTAACCCAGATTTAACGGACACAGAACATTTCAATAAGTAATGTTTAAGAAAGCTGTTAATGCATCATGTGCTGTGATTTTCTGCCTCAAACCTTCAGGGAGAAATGTACAGAGGTTGTAAAAGTAGGAAGCGTATGTGGCTCACCCTGTGACACAAAGCTTTTTATATAAACATTTGCATTGCGGTATGTATAAAATTCCTAAGGGTTAAAGAATGCAATATTTATGCAAAGCTAGGACTTAACTTGTCTGCATCGAGCTATGCTTTGATGCCACAAATGTAAAGAATGCTTCACAAAATACAGAGCAGAGTGATTGTTTCCTTCACACAGTCTGATGCGAAAATGCTAACTGGTGCTGAGTTTTGTTGTTGTCTTAAAGGTCACATATAATGCTAAATACACTTCACCATGTTTCTCTAACACTAATATGTGTCTCTAGTCTGTCTACAAACCCCCCAGTGATGAGAAAAGTCCATCCTCTCCGTCTTCTGCCTGCTCCACTTTTAAGAAAATGTGTGCTCAAACAAGCCGTTTGGAGATTTTCCCTTCATGACATCACAAAGGGCAGTAGCCCCTCCCCCATGTGGGTGACACTCCCACAGCTAGGTGTTTGTTCTGCCCTCTGAGTCTGCCTTCTCACCATAAACAATTATTTTACATTATTATTGCCTTGTGAGGTAGTTATCTATCCATCAGGTAGGTGACGTTGAGAATGTGGTTTTTCCTTTCCAACCTTAAATTTGCAGCTTCATTGCAGCTCCTGTGTAGCTACAATTGCAATTACCTCTCATCTGATCTTTAAATAGTTTCCTCTCTGAGAAACACAACACAGCAATAACGTGCTGCAGGAGCCCTCTGTTATTAAAACACCGACAGACAAAACATTAGAAGGTTTTCAAGACGTTTAGTAATGAAGGTACGGCCTGACAGCGAGAGCATAAATAATGCTGATGTTTTTAATCTCACACTGCACTCAGACATCTTTTCCTCCTTTAGTTTCACTGATAACAACCACCACCCGCAGAAACAAACACAAACATCCACATTATCACATTATCGTTCCATAAGAAGCAAACATAGGATGACTTTCTATTTGTCATGTATACAGTTTACTCTAGCTATGTGGAACATTGTGTATGCACGGCCACACACAACACATAAATACACACATGGCAGTGAGCTCTGTACACCGTGTCACGAACCAGGATTGTTCAGATTCACTTTAAAGTTGAATGCATATAAAATATTGTGGCCGACAACGCGTTTTGCATAGTGGCTTCCTCAGGTTCACTCTCTACAAGACACTATGCAAAACTCGTTATCCGCGCCGATGTTTTATATTTGCATTCAACTTTCAAGTGAATCTGAACAATCCTGGTGTGCGCTGGATTACTCTGATCTTGAAATACAATTTAAAACCTTCAGCGGAGATAGGACTTTTCTGGAAGGATTCAGGAGAACCATGAATGTCTTTAACCTCTGGTTTCAAAGAGGTCCTAAGACGCCCCCTGGTGGTGGAATAAACTACCAAACTCCATTGGATCTGCAGAGTCCCTCTGCATCTTTAAGAAAAAGCTAAAGACCCAGCTCTTTCATGAATACCTACTAACTTAATGATGATGGTCTCCATATTGTTGATGATGATGATGGTAATGACGATGGTTTTTGTTTGATAACGATGACTTATAAGATGGTTTCTATACTGATTAGAGCTCTCAAGAACTGCCGTCAATGTTGTGCTTTGCCTCTGGTCACTTCCTGTCAGCACCTGTGTGTCCAATCGGACTCAAAGCTGATCGTTTACTCTTACTGACATTGTTCCCTTTTTCTAGATCCTTGTTTGTGTTGTACTTACTCTCTGATGTACGTCACTTTGGATAAAAGCGTCTGCTAAGTGAATTGTAGAATAGTAGAGATGGAACACTAACCGGTGTCATCGGCACCGTCAAACACATCTTTGGACATTCACATTGATGTATTAAAGACGGCACATTGGAAGGAGACTTTTGTGCCTCCATGAGCAAGCTGTGTGAAGTTAGCCTCTCGCAGCAAATCTGTCAGAACTTTCCATTGAGAGACATTTTCTTTAATGTCAAACACCGACAAATTCAGTTGCACAGAGATTCTACAAGTTCTCTCAGCTTTTCAGTACAAGCCAACATTGTGTCTCTTGAAGAATTATTAACACAGCACAAAATGTTGTTGGAGATAAGCGCGAGGAGTTGTTAGTGTCTGTTGATAATTCTCCTGATGGTGCAGTTCATTCCTTTAAAGGAGCTCTGACTTCTGTCTCTGGTGTGTTTAGATGGTCTGAGAGCGCTCATTGTCTAACTGGAATGTATTATCTGTCCGGTTGGTAACAGCTGCAGGAACAAATCTGCAGGAGCAAAAAACTATATTATGAGTGGCTCTTATTAGCAAATATTAACATGAATATCAGTGTTCAAAAAAGGTTAATTTGATTCTGTACGAAGGGTCATCTTTGTAATACAACCTGCTGTCAAAGCCAGCTCTTCTGACGTATGAGTAAAGGAGCTGTAGCGGTGTCTCTTGGCAACTGAAGCTCTCAGGGGAAGGCATGTTCCTGGTAAATGAATACCTTTTGTATGCAGAAATCGAACACGCCTAATGACACACGCGCAGCAATCACAATGAAGAAACAGTCCATTATCCACAAATTACTAAAAAAAAACACACTGCCAAGCTTCAAAGATTGGCAGCGATGTTGTATAGTTCCAGGAAGAATTACATGAATATTTATGGCAGAATTAACAGGTTCGTCTAAAAAACTCAGTATGTCAGTGCATCTTTGATTGACTTGTTTGATCAAAAAGGGGGCATACAAATCAGAAACAAAGCCTAGGAAGACTTTCTGTTTGTGCTTTAAAGTCCTTCTAGAATATATTTAGAAGCATCCTGAATGAGAAAAACCTTGGCCGAGTGAATGAATCAAATCTCTTGAGTGAAAAGCTTTCACAGAGACAGAGAGCAATAAAGTCTCGCCCACCTCAGAGGGGAGAAGAATATGATTGCTCTCAGTTGGCAAACCAGAGAATTGTCTAAAAGCTTGAGTGTGGTATAGGAGGCAGTGCAGACAGTCTTATTGCGGTCCAATACAAAGTGCACTGCTCAGTGCGCCATCCTGAAGCTCTGACCGATAATGTCCGACATGGTCTCGACATGCCTGACAACATAAAGGACAGTGTCACAGTGACAGCGCAAAATGTTAATAAAAGATATGACGGGTATTTAGCCCAGGTTTTCATTTACATATGACCACTATTTACTGGAGAGCAGCTGTAATTAAAACGCCCACCGTCTCTGTCTTTGAATCAATTAGTGACATCCAACGTTTCCCATGATCCCTTTGGACAACATTAAAGTAAGGGTAATTAATTTTCCATTAAGAAGTGGGATGTGAAAGTGTTGGTGGGAAATGTAGCAGGGATTTGTTTTTATTTTTTCAAGGGGGAAAAATTTCCTTTATTGGACATGACAGCTGAAGAGAGCAGAGATTGGAGTAAAGTTTGCCAGGAGACAAACCTGCGGCCGATGTGTGGAGAACTGTAGCCTCTGTTTATGGAGCTCCTGCTCTACAGACTGAGCTAAACCAGTGCCCCAGAAAGAATTGAAGAGCAGGGCATGACTCCAGAAGAGGAGGGACTGAACACAGCGTGTTTTACTACCTCTGTCTTTTCAGGTTGCTAGGTGGAGAGACTGGTTTTCTACACAACACAGATTTTCTGAATCAAAGAAATGTCTTTTATCAGAATCCACTTTATTTGTGTGTGTGTTTGTGAGGACGTGGTTTTCCCAGTAGCACTCTGTGGCTCCCTCCTGATTGCTGTTCATTCCCTCCACCTGCTCAGTCCTGCACACCTGCTCTCCATCAACTCTGCACTATACCCCGGCTTTTCATCCACTCATCCCCAGATTGTTGTTTCAGCTACTGCGGTAAGACAACGGCGCAGGCTTATCGTAAAGATTTTGATAGAGTTAGAAAAAGTTTCTTGTGCTAGTTTTGTTTTGATTCTCATCCTGGTTTTTTTTACCACTCAGCCTCCTGCCTTCCTGCTCAGCCATCTGTATTAACCTGCCCTCTGGATTTAAAGCCACTCAATCAGCCACGCTACCACCCATACTCTGCTCTGGTCAGCCATCTGAAAACCTCCAGAATCATCAACCCATCTCCATTTCCCTTTCTCTGCAATAAACCTCATTACCCCTCTTTTTCTATGTTCTGCATCTGGGTCCTTATAGTCACTGTTCAATTTGCTCAAATATCTTTTGTTGTCTTTATTTTTAACCGACACAGTGGAAAGCTACACTTAATTTTAAAGGCACAATATTTCAAATCTTTCCACTAAAATATCTAAATAGATATTTTTTAATTATGAAAACCTTTGTATATATATATATATAAGTACTCAGATTAACTCAGATATTTCCAACAGTTATCAAAGCCAGAGAAATCCTTATGGTTGTAATGGGACGTGTCTTGTAGCAACCATGACGGTCACAACGTGTTTATTGTTGACATGTCATGTAAACATACTTTCTTCCTCAGGTCGGTTTTGCTCATTCCTCTTAACTACAGTTAACTAGGAGTTTGTTTTCCTCGAGGGTGGGGGGGGGGAGGGCGGGAGCAGCAGAGAGAATCACTCCCATGCATCCCCGTCAGACTCAACGTCACCTTTTGTTATTGTTTTGACTGAGTGCCCCCTGGTGGTGGAATTAATATGCTGTGCCTTTAAGTGGTGACTCGTCTTTCTGGGAATAAATACGACTCTGCGTCCTTAGGCCTCGCAGTGAGAGTCAAACTGCTCTCATGGGATCACGGGTCATCAGAGAGAATGATGGGAAACTTAAACACTGCTGTCTTGTGTCACCAGATTTAGGTTTATTGGCCCCAGAACGCAGATAAATGGACTGCAGATCCTGCTGTGACGTTAAACCGGATTTCACCCTGACACTTGAGCAACAGAACAAGCTGCAGAAATTTACAACATGGACTTTATTATTAAAACAAAATATCAATGCATATCTTTGAATATGCACCATTTTTAAACTTTTCTGCAGGATGGAGTCAGCGATATTAGCAATAGGGAGATGAAAACTTGTACTGACAAACCAATTCAATTTATTTGACTTTGAAAATGTTGCACTCATAAAACATTTGCTTAAGAAAGAACAAAACAAAAGCCGGGACTTGAATCTTTAAAATAAAAAATGAAAAGCTTTGTAGCAGTCTCAAGAGCAAATACCTGTTTGTAATTCTTCAGCTGCCAACAACCAAAGACAAAACACGCTTCTCTTTTAAAGATAAAACGAAAGTAAAGTCAAACACTAAGGACTCAAATGAAACATCCCAGAGTGTTGTCCTGCAGACGGAAATGTTTGGCAGAGATAAGATAAAAAAAGAAAAAAAAAGAAGAAAAGCAGAGAAGCAGCGGGAGCAGAAACACACAGGGCTGACAAATAGAGAAATAATGTCCTTCAGCTTCATTTAAATGCTGTGCTGTGTCTCTTTCAAACTGCCCATGGTGATGCAGTGATGGATTGGTAACATTAGAAATTGAAGCAATTATTGAGATATGCTAGAGGCCCGCTGTCTTTCTTCACAGTAGCGGCCTACTGTGAAGAAAGACAGCGGATTTAAACCCCCTGTGGATCCCAGATCTCAAAGAAGGCTGAATATAAATGACCAATGAAGATGAAATATTCAGTGACATTAATGTGTTGCTTCTCTAATAATGGACTGATCTTCAGATAGTTTCAAGTGTTTGGAAACACATTTACTTTACTATTTCCTGACACGAGACATTTTAAAAAACTTTGCTCTGCATTGCGGCATTTTTTTAAAAAAAGGTGTTGGATTCCACTTTATTTAAAACTTGTGTGTATCCTTTAAGTTCAGTTTGTATTATTCACTGGGTTTTATTTTCCAATCTTTCCAATCAGCCTCAACAAAGCTGTTTTCATTCAACTTGTGGTACTGTGAGCTCCTATTGTTTTCGACCACCTAAGTCTTAATATAAGAGACCATTTTTTGCATTTATCTCAGTCTGAGGACTTTTTTGTGGCTGTTGGTTTTTGGTTATCTCCTTTGCCGTATTTTCAAATGTTCCTCCAGCACAAGCTCCCCGGAGATTCAATTTTTTGATTTCGCACAGTTTCACAGCAACCCAACATTTATATTCTAACATATGACATCATTGGATCATTAATACTGACGCAACAATATGTCAGTGGAAATGTACTTTTGGTGCAGGTCAAGCTGGAGGTAGTTTATCTACTTTAGATAAAGTAGTCAAGAGGTGACCAGCTTTCGGGTCAGGTCAAAGGGTCAGAGGATAAATCTGTGTGTGTGGGGGGAGGTGGGGGGGGAACACACAAGATGATTAATGGAGTTGGAAAACTAAGTAACCATCAACAATGTCTAAAATATGTGAAGTTGGGGTGAACGGTACAATGTAAAGTAGAAAAAAATGAGAAATACTCATGTTAAAGAGGACATATTATCTCCCTTCTCCACCTTTTTAAACAGTCCCCCTGTGGTCTAAATGAAACATATGTGCTGTGCGTTGGTCAAAATATAACATGAATCAAGCACCAGAGGAGGTTTGTGACCCTGTATAAACCAGCTCTCTCTGAACGCTCCATTTTGGTGTGTGTGTCTCTTTAAATCCATTATTTCATAATATGTCCCCTTTAAATTTAAATATTTCAAAATTGTACTTAAAGAGCGTGCTGGAGGAAAGAATTTCTGTTCATTTCAGCACTAAATCATTGATACACCTCATTTCATGCCCTAAACAGTTTCTTCAGCCTCCATCTTGTGATTAGTAGATTTCATATAAGAAAGTAAAAGAAAATGGTTTGGGCTCATTCAGTGTCTCAGCTAGAGTTACTTGAGGTTTCAGCACTCACACTGAGTTCATCTAAGTTCCCTCTTATTATTTACTCTGGTTCACTATCTCAGAGGTCAAACTGTCAGAGCTTCTCGTAGCTGTCCACAGAGGAGGGGGCGGCTCACACTTTATTTGAACTGTTTTGTAATCCAGTGAGGTTTCAGGGAAGCACAAAGAAGCAGCACAGACCTCAGGAGTGTGTGTATGTTTGTATGTCTGCTTTTGAGAGAGGACAGAGGAAGGATGAAGGCAGAGGAGGCTGCTATTATCTTCCTCTGTCATCCTGTGACCACTTCCTCCGTCCTCTCCCCTGTCCACTTCTAAACAGGCCAACAGGTTAAAAATAAGCCATTGTTACATATAAACAAAGGGACATGGAAGGGACTTTCATAGTGAGGGGGACACAAAGAACATCCTCACTGCCTTTTTAATACCAACACAGACAAGACTCTGGTGGACACCGAGAGGTCAGGAAGAACAGGATTACTTCAAAAGTCTTATGAGTGAAGTTAATGAGGGTTCTTATCATTGATGATGTTTTAATGAAGCAGCTTTGATTTGTCCGCCAAGAGTTTTCTCTTAAATCTGCGTAAAGACGTTTCCAAAGATGACCTCACGGATGAAACCGAGGAAAATGTTGTTTCCCCATTATGTCTCCACAACATTCAGAAGGTGAAACGTGACAGAGGTGTACACAGTCGCAGCTTGAAACGACATATAGGGCTAAAGAAGTCTACTGAAACACTCAAAAGTAGATGTCAACATCAAGCCAAAATTAAATAAACTAGGATATAGAGGTGGGAACAAAATTGATTTGTGTAAAAGTAGAGATTTTTGTCTTCTGAGATTTAAAAAAAAAAAGATTTTTCTTTTTGGCTAATCAGTCAGTCCCTGCTAAGCGCTAATGCTAGCTCTTTAACTTAGCAGAATACCAAATGGAGCAGCAAGAAATTCAGCCAGTCTCACAGATGACTGGATTCAAAAATGGACTTTGAATCATGAATCCAGAATCATTTTGAATCGAAAATAGATACTGGTGCTGGAGCACAGTTCTAACAGTCCTCCTCTTACTCTCTTCTATAACATAAAACAGCTATGTGACAATTCAGTTATAAAGATTTCAAGAAAGTTCAAACCCAGCCTTATTTTGTAATGTCAACACCGCAGCACATCCAGTCCATAAAGTCCATAATGGGGGATTGTCCATGCTGGATTAATACATTCCTGCATCATAAACACAGCCTCAGCTGTTTGCACTTGTTGTAATCAAACTGAAGCTTTAAAAAAAAAAAACATCCAGCGCAACATCTGTGAGTGTCTTTACATGGACTTGAGTGTCCCAGATTGGGTTTTTTAAGTATCCCGTTGTCGTGTTAGTGCATGTAAACATCATATCTCGATTTCAGAAATGGGGAAAGGCCCTGATCCCGATAGTAAAAATCCTGATTATGCTAGCTGGAATACGGGATACTGTGGCATGTATACGCCTTACAGCGGTTTCAGGCAGCTGCCCACAATCTGTCCAGGTGCGGCCTAGGCTAAGGGAAATATCAGCAAAACAAATACAGTGGAGAGTGTCTTACTTCTTGAGCGGAGAAGAAACTGAGTTTTGTCTTTCGGTCGGTTGGCAGTGACAGGTTTTCACCAGTCAGAGGTGAGGACATGTTTGATATTTGCTGCTGTCGTTCTCTTCTCCCGTTGCTGGAAATGAAATGGATACGCCATATCTGCAAAGCGATGTTGGCATTTAATAGTGCTAAGCCCGCAATAAGCCACAGTGGTCTCATTTTTCTGCTATTTCAAATTTGCTGCAGTTTTGTGTTGTAAAAAAGAAACATCACAGACATCCTGCACAAATAACACAGAGTAATCAGTCACTGTGGTTGTACTCGTATTTATCATACAGGGATATGAATAACCAGGTTTTTAACGCCATATCCCGAATATGATCATAACCGGGATACTCAAGTCCATGTGATCGACTCAGTGTTCTTCCATAATCTGGTTTCTGGTCGCATCATTAACTCAGGTTTAATAATAAGTCTTCAATCTTAAACCACTTAGCTGGATGTTCTCCGCTGGCAACATTTTCCATAAAATAAGCCGCCAGCTGCTTCTGACAGCCATGACACTCACAACCCCTGTCAGACATGAGCTGAACCCCCCGACATTTTCTAGATAACTTCAGGACAGTCAGGCCCTGATTTTTTTCAGGAATTGCCTTTCACACATGCACCTCAAAGCAAGGAGATCGTCATTATCAGCTGAGCTGTTAGGACACTTTGTTTGGTGTATCGGTAGTGCATGCAGGAGGAGGACTTCAACATAAAGAAGTATGTAAAAACAGAACACTGCACCTTTAGGGCTTACCTACTTTGAAATGAAAACTTTGCTAACCGAGCATGTAGCACTTTAAGAGCCAAACATCAGTCAACACAAAAGATCCTGTTATGCAATGACAAAAAGAAGGTTCAGTTACAGGTCAGACTGAGTGTTGATCCTGCAGGCAGGCAGGAGGGGGGTAACCGAATAAGAAGGGGTGCACTTTGCTTTCAAAGAACAAATCAGTATGGGTGAATACTCCCAGTAACCCATTTAAGAGACGTACATTAATGTGTCTGGACTGGAGCGACACTTGATCTCAGGTTTCATGTAGTTTTTGCACAGCCCTCATCTGCTTCTTGGGATCTGGATCTGTTTCTCACTCTGACTCACATCTTCTGTCCCCTGTGTAAAACTCCAGCGTCCCTGGCCTTGAGTTCTGTAAACTGGGCTCTCTTAGGACTGTCCAGATCCAGAAAAATCACTGAGGAGATCCAGCAGCACCGGCGTTTATAGTAACAGAGTCCCCCATGTATGAGTGATTAAGGACTTGGTTATTTTCCCATAGTCAGACCCAAAAATAGCTCCTCCGGCTTGGAGCTCTGCCATGTGGTGTCTTTTGACTTTTTGCTTATATTTTCTTGTCTCTGGGGCAATAAAAGGACAACAGGCAGTGCAAGAGGGAAAATAAAGGCACTGCTCCCTAGAAACGATGGTCAACCAATGATATAAACACCCCCTCAATTCCCAAAACTCCTCAGAAACAGAGCGCATGCTCAGTCGGCAGACGGCTTCTAGTGGATGCCCGCAGGCTACAAGGTCAGAAAATAAGATCAGCACAACATTTACCATGCCAGCTCTAAGTGTTCTCCCCCACTTATCAATCATAGTGGGAGTCAGCACAACCTGACACGGCTCCAAGATATGGTCAGCCTGACACTGCGTTCATCACAAAAGCATCTACTATGATTCTTCTTTTCTTTTTTTTTTCTTTCTCATTTCATTCTAACTGAGGTCTTCTCTCAGTTTCCCACTGAGAATGAGCACACTCCATGTTCCTTCTTCAACGTGTCACATGAAAACCACTGTCAGCTTCAAAAAAATTAGATGTAGCCTAAATCTAATTTACATACCAAACCAGTATGCAACCATTTCACCGGTAAGGGTTAGCCAATCTTGTATCCCTTTGGAGAATTTCGGTGTAGCCAGTGGTTATTCAGATATGTTTTCTGGACTAGACTTCCTCTTCGTATCGATGGCCATCGTTTACAGACTGAAGAGAAACTTTAGATTTCTGTCCATTGATTAGAAGGTTTAGCATGTATGTGACTGATCCAGATGTGAATGAATCCATTTTTTTGCAATCCAGGATCAGGTTATCCCGCTCATCTTTGACCTGGTTTCTCAGTTTTACATTTTGTTTCCTGTAACCCGGCCTGAACCCAGCCCTCTGCTAAGGTCAGGTTAATCCCGATCAAAGTTATCGATATTCTTTAAAAACTTTTGAGCATCTCAAACTGGAAGTTTTATCAAGATACAAACTAAGATTACATAGGTCTTATCTGAACATTTTCAAGATTTGATTGAATAATAGCTTTAATCAGATCAGATAACTTTTGAATATTTTGATGGCTGACAGGTTTCAGGACTGAATCACAGCTGACACATTCGGCCTCTTTTGCTCCCCACTCAGACTGTTAACCTGCATGCAGCCAATTTTTACTGAGACACTAATGGACAACACTACATGGACGACAAACGGAACCAGAACTCTCCAACACCAAACATCATGCCTGTCTCCTCAAGATTCTGTATTTTCAAACAAAATGTAGAACTTTAAATGTCTGCTCCAGAGCTACTTGGTGAGGTTTAGGTCGGGTTGAAAATGTCAAGTCAATGACATGACACAAGAACAGCAGATGCCATCAAATTCTCTTTCAAAAAAGCACATGTATGACTTTTTTTATATCGCATGACATGACCCTAATGCATGGTAATGATATACCGAGCGCATGAAGGGAGCTGTGGTTTTTAATCCAGTGTCCTGTCACTTACTGTAAAATTGTGCAACATAATTTCCCAAACATTGCCTGAATTTACAGCTTCAACCCCCCGCAGCCCTGCAGCTATTAGTGTGCAACCGTAACGCGTGAGTTATCTCCAACTGTGCCGAAAATAACCACATGTTTTTACACGGGGGGGGGGTGTGCATGTTGGCTTGTTTGTATTATGAGAGGGGGGATAAGTGAAGAGTGAGGTGGGGGGGTTAGGGACCAAAGTAGCAGCCAGAGCGCCTATTAATACACAGATAGCTGCGTGGCAAGAGCAGGCTGTTCTAGTCAAAGGCTGCTGGGCCGATTGTGGGATGGGGGTGAAAGTTTCCCACGGGCACACACACACGGTTTAGGATATGTCCTAAAGTCAGGAGCTGGTCTGAGATCGATGTCTTGGGTGTGAGGATTACAACTTGGCAACAGACGGAAGAGGGGTAAAGGGTGTTCCTGAAGACATTCTGCTGAAACAGAGCCAGTCACAGATAGAAACACACAAAGCTGACATGGAAATACCCTCTGCTGGTGAAATCGAAGCTGCCTTGCAAATATTGCAGAGGCAGCTACGAGGCTTAGGATGGTATTAGAATAACATTAGCAAGTGTTGGATCTATTACAGACAGTGACAACTAAGGAATAACAATACATAAACAAATAAACAGCACATTGGTCTCCTCTTTTAAACATATCGGGCGGCATCATTTCATTTTATGAAGACAACAGATACTGCAGGTCTGCAGGGTTTGCAGGTGGCGGCTACCACGCATGTAAAAGTGAATGAAAATCACCAAGGACAAATGCAAATACACAGAGTCAATTACAAAGCACTTTCCATGACATCCAGCCTGCTGGAAACAGGCTCATGATGTTGATTGTATGTCCATGCCAGGTTTCTGCATTGTTTTACTCCCTGTCTGCGCTTAAAGGAAGTCTATTAAATGATCATTTCAGTCTTTGGAATCCTGTTTCTTTGTTCAATTTGTTAGTTTATTAAGCTGAAGAAGTCCCTGAAAGAGAGTGCTCAAGAGTCTTTAGGATTGCTCACAACCTAGGGTTGTCACAATACCTGATTTTTAAACTTCCATATGATTCTAGTAGAAATCTAATTCTATTGATACCTGTTTCGATAACACTGCAACAAAAATGTAAGTCCTAGGCATCAGATATTTGCTATTTTCTAGTTTTTAAAGATCCCATGTTAACCTTTCATATCGTCAGTCTGTGAAACCTATAGAGTAGCTTTGCATGATTTGCAGCTCAAAAAAACTCCTTATTTATTTTATTCTGTGTCAGTAAAAAATCTAATTTCAATCTTGGTCTGAAAGGCTTCATTTTAGCTGCTGTCCTCGTAACTTAACTTGGCATCAGCACAATCGGTCAACACTCCAACAAAAATTGCAAGCAAATTCCTGCACACTGTCTCAATTTGCACAAATATGTTGGTACCAGTTGACAATTTATTTGTGAAATTCTGACAGTTCTCTCTCTGTCGTTCACCAGCAGCAGCTTTGGGTTAAAAACTGAATTTAAGTAGTTATTTAAAAGCTTTGGTACTTTTTGATACTCTAGCAGGTCATTGCAATATAACGGCAATTGTATTGTTTTAAAACATGTGGTATCGAAAAAGTAATGAAAATTCTGACAACCTTATCATGCTATAATTTGGTTTACTGCACCTCTAAATCATTGCTGCTTCATAGAGCTGTCATGTAAAAAGTTGACTATAGCTCGAAGAGATCTTCTACCAACAGGGACACCATCAGCATCCACTAAATGAATGATTCACCACCTTTACTGTCAGATCAGTCACTTTTAACACGGTATTGACTTATGTCTCGTCTCCCTCATGTTGACCAAGGACTCATCAGCCACCTGTGGATAATCACCGAGTCGCACACAGTGTATGGTCTACTCTATTCTATTTCTATTTCTATTCATATGTTACTCAGAATTGCAACAGTAGAAGCAGGCAAGCAGCCAGCTGAGGGTGTGACCTTCCCCTCAACCTGCATTCATCCTCAATGATACACTGAGAACCCCGTGTAGTACACAATACACACTTCAAATATTGTTTGAAGACTTTTATATGGATTGTGATGGTAAAAAACTGTAGTTTTCTTTGTTCACTTACACTTTGCAGTCAAATAAATTCCATGGCATGTCTCTGAAGTAGTAGAGTAATCATTTCATCTTGTTGCACTGTCAGAGTTATTTCAAGCGAAGCGCATCACATCCTGAGTGACCACGACACACACACACACACACACACACGCACACACACACACACACACACACACACACACACACACACACACACACACACACACACACACACACACACACACCAGTGAAGCTTCATGAAACACCGCATTAATTGACATCTGGGACAGTTTAAAGTATCTTTCAGGCAGTCTTTGGATTAAAAAAAAGAGATGTGTGGTTTTACCTTTTCTTTGAGTGAGATGTCAAACTGTCTTTTCCTCCAAACATCCCCGTGTTTTCATGATCCGAGCAGAGAAGGGTCTCATGCTGCTCTTCTGACAACACTGACCAACCGCGACCACCACAGCTACAGTCAGACTGAACGCAGCGTTCACAAAGCTTCCTGTTAATGCTGTCAAAATAAGACACCAGCAGGGCACAGAATCGATGCAGTTTGATTAATATACACTGTATATTACGTACTTTTTAAATGTACTTGGATCAATAGAGGAAGCTTTTTATTTTGAAATTCAAGGGTTAAGTATTTTTTTAACATGTTCAGAAATAAAGCCCAGGAAAAACGTAATAAGCAAAGATATTCAATTTGATCTTTATATTTAAATATGAATTAACAGGCTAAAGATGAACATCATTATTAGAAAACTGCTACAACGAAAGGTTTTATTTAGGCTGCACGTTTTTAAGTTTATTCTGGGAATTTGTTTTGGAGTAATAGAAATTGGTTCTTGAAATGCAAAATAAATAAATGGATACAAGTGAGCCTTGAAAGTTTAAAGTTATCGAGATTGCTCTATAGCCTTCCCTAGATTATAACCAATTATTCTACGTGACACATTCAGAAGCTTTTCTTTTTACTATCAGCGTCAAATGCTGCTATTTTCCGGTTCTCCTGTTTGTCTAACTTTACAAAATCACAAACTCAGTCTTTGCTTCATTCAAAACCTATTTAGTGCAAGAAAGAAAATCATGATAAGAGATCAGACAGACATGTGCTGTTTTTCATTATTTAACTTCAAATTGAAAAAAAGATTCAAAACATCTTAAAGAAATCATCTTCATGTGATATATCCATTCATAGTGATTAATTATATTACAGAGGATGTGTAATTAAAGGAGAACAACTGTTAACATTGAATCACTTGTATCAGTTAAATGATTGAAGCGAACGCAATGATTTATTCACTTTATAGTCTTCTGGAGTAACCGGTAGTACTGCCGCGAAGTACAACACTGCCACCTGCTGGTTGTTCTTGGAGCAGTTGGATTGATGTCCAACAACGCAGCATACAGCAAAATAAAAACCTTTGACATGACGTAAATGTGACGTTGTGCAACGAAAACATTGTAATTTGAGTTATTTGCCTTCACATTACTTCTGTCTAACATATTTATCTCTAATAATAATTATTAATTCATACACTGAAAGAAGGTGCCATTGCTATCTGGATTATATAAATTAATGAAGCCTTGACGTGCTGCTGAGATCAGTTGTTACTCTTACGTTACTTTTTCAGCTGGCAATACCTCATTAATTTCACATAAACAAATTCTGCTTAAATGTTTTTATTTTAACTCTGTTATAGGGTTTGTATAACCTGTAGAAGATAACCTTATCTCAGTCAAAAGTCTGGTAAACGGTTCAAAATGATCATAATGATGAAGGAGGTTTGTATCTAAACATGACTTAGCCTACAATAAATAGAATTACAATGAATTACATGAACACTGCAGCAAAATCATTCAAACAAACAAACCCAAAATGCTGCAATGCCCTGAATGAAACTATACTTCTATGAGGGGCATCTCATTTCATCGGTTTACCGCTTTATCCTTCATAATTATTTGGGATCAAGCCAGCTCAATATTTTTGTTCTTTGTCTTCTTCTTCTGCTTTTGTGTTTTTCCCTAAATGTTTCTGTAGCAAATACATATATAAATTGGTGTGTTGAATTATAATTCCACTACTCAGCCACAAAAATGACTCTTATAATTAAATAGAATAGAAGAAATCTTTATTGTCCACCAGAGGTGGAAATTTGCCTCAAGCCCCCCAAATACATAAACCAGCATACAAGACATTCAGGCAGGCAATAACACAGAGAAACAAAGCAGCTACATTTACACATTAAAAACAGTTCATATCAAAGTTCAGTTCTCATCAGCATGTTGTAAAATTGAGGATGTTTAATGCACTTGGGACACATGACTTCTTAAATACATTTTTAGTTTCCAGTGGGACTTTATAGCGCCTCAGAGTCCCTCAAATAAAATGCATTTAAGAAGTAACATACTTGAACTTACGTATCACTGATTGCACAGCTCCCCATGTCAATACTGTCCATTTACAACTCTGTTTTTGCACATTTACATCTATCTCCAGCAGAGTATGTTGTATTTAATATTTTCATATTTAAGACTAGTAATGCTTAGTTAAATCCTGGTTGTATATATTCCCATTCTTAGTTTTGATATTTTTAGTGCTTATTTACTTTGTATTATACTTTGTTTATTATGTTGTGTTTAGATTTGCTAATATTGTGTTTTTTGCTAATATTGTGTGTTTGGATAACCTGCTGCTGTAACGCCCCAATTTCCAGTTTGGCATCAATAAAGTAATTTTATTTTATTCTATTCTAATTTATCCCAAGTGGAATAAAAATGATTGACCTTACTACCGTTGGAGTTTGGGCCTACATGATACGTAATAGTTTAATCACTAGCAATAACCATTAATGCACTAAGCTTTGGCTTTAAATTCACAACTTATAAGATAAAATAAGTTTAGTAATTAAAGCGTCTTTAGTTAAATTACACTGAAAGAAAAAAAACAATTTTTCGTAGTAAAATCATTTTTTGTTTATTTAAATATGCATTTTAATATGTATTTGTTTATTCTATTGAGGTCAGACTGTTAAAATATTGACTCTTAAAACGATTCACTGCAATATTAACTTACTATTTTCACGCCTATCTCATTTACATGGTTCGAACACGGGCCTTAAACGCATCAGCATGTTTACCGCTCACCTATTGGTCCATCCTGACCCAACTCTGGGCCAATCACAGCGCAGCGGGGGCAAAAGCGTCGCGCCCCACCTTGTTTCGGTCACGTGACGCGAGTGACGTGCGCCTACGAAGATGGTGGAAGTTTCTTCTTCCTCAAAGTGAAGACCGAGAGTGAAACCCCAAAAACATCCTGCACACCGACAGCTGGGGATTTGGTTTTCTCAACTCCGCTTCGGATTCGGGTACGTGACAGACGCCATGTTTACTGCGTGTGTGGTCGGTTTGTTTTTCACAGCTGTTGGACTTTAGATTTAGCAGCCAGCCATGATGATGACACGAGCTAACATGCTAACAGGGAGTTAGCTTGACTGTGATGGCAGCAGGCTGTCAGAGGAAGTGTTGCCCAGCTGACGTTCAACACGTACTGAGAAACTCCTGAGAGACTGTAAATATAAACACTGACAACAAACAGCCTGTAGACGTGATGTCTGCGAGCTAACCAGCACAGACTGCTCATAACTGCGCGGCTAACTCAGCTAGCCCGCTCTCCAGTGAGATTAAATTATGTAATAATGAAATGATCAACAGACCACGACGGACATGTAGAGGGACACAGATTACTAACAGGCGATCGCTGTCCATAACTTCAGGTGAATTAAAAACTCTTATCTAGCGAGTAAAGTGGATATCTGGAGTTGTTTTTCATTTCCTTCTCTCAAAGATCTTTTTTTTTAAATCCTATTAAAGTCACGCGTTCATTTCAGCATTTCTGATATGTAATGTTCATGTTTGGCATCTTAAACTCAGGAAAAGACACAAAGCATGAATACAGAAATGTTTAATACCTAAAATTTAAAGAGAACAATGAAAATATTTTCATATTTCAACAGTTTTCTCTAATTTAACTCTTTTCTGTCCCTTTAAATTTAAATTGTATTCAGAATGGTTCTCTGTAGTTACAGTGTTTCCGTTTGGTCCTTTTGAATTGAAAAGTTTGTCTTTTTACTTGAAATAAGCAGCATTTCATTTTCTATCTATCCTATAATTTAAAGATGTAACTTCTCCTTTTAACTTCTAAACAATTAAACCAGCTAGTTATCCTCTTTTAAGGATTTTATATTTCTCAGCAAAAAGATCCCATTCATAAAAGATGTTCCTGAGCGAGCTCCATGTTCTCTCATGAAGAGTCAAACTTGATTTAATCCAAGATAAGAATAAACTAGAAGTTTGGTTTTGTATTTAAAGTTACACGATTTACAAAACACAAAACAAGAAACTTTAAGAAAATAATTGGAGCTACCCCGGAACTATGATAAATAATTTGAGTAAACATATGTTACTATAAGAAGGACCGTATATATTCATGGTAGAATTGAGTGAACCGGTTGAAAGGAAACATTTTTGCTGATTCAAGCACAACGGCTCGATGTCTATTGTCTACATTCCTGTTGTGAAGTACGACCCATCCTTCTTTTCAGTGTCCTGGAAGCAGCAGCTGTTCTGACCGCATACGTTTGTCTCCTTGCTTAATTGTGAAAGTTATGTGGGAGAAACAGATCAGCAAAGGTAGAGAGAAAACAAAGATCTATTTGTCACGTCTACTCGGCGAGGTCGGCTGTGTTGTTGGTTTGTGTCTTCAGCTACCAGTTTTGTCTGAACAGGAAGGCCGGCCGGCGTTCTCCTGCTTGTTCTCCTCAGAGACAGGTTGTTGTGGGAAATGTTTTACAAAATATCTAACAATGTTTACAACAGAGAGAATCACTCCCATGATTCCCCGCCAGCCTCAACATCATCTTTTGTTATTGTTTTCATATTGTGTGTTTAACTTGATCTTTGCATCATATTTGTATTTGTTTGTTTTGTCTGTCGGACGTCATTAGGAAATGTTTTCTGTAAATGTGTCCCATAAGGGATGGGCTATTTGAGATCAGAATATATGGAGGAAATCAGCTCTGTTGGCAGGCATCGGCCCATCGGCCAATTTTGTGGCATGCATCGATGTCAGTGGCTGATGTTTATCTGTTGTGTTGAGTCCCGCTAACTGTTGGCTCGGGGAGAAGAGGTTTTTTAATTGGACAGAAGAAGTCAGCTGTTGGACAAACTCTGATTTGTTTTCATGGTCAAACATGAAAGAAAATGTTCTGCAGTGTGGGAGTCTTACACCGTCTCTGGGAAAGATCAGCAACATGCAGTTTGTAAGACATGTTTAAGTGACATGTAGTCATCGGCTTAGTAGTTCTTTTTTCTGTATTGATGTCAGCCCTGATTTTCACAGTCTGTGTACCTATAGCTCTATCGGGTTTATTTTGTCGCAGTTGACTTATTTTCTGATGAGTGCATATATTAAACAATTCAATTTTTTAAATCCAAGTTGCAGAATATAGATGCTTCATTCAAAAGAAAATGAAGTTTTGAATAGTTTGTCATGCAGAACGCACCTTGTGATTGCTGTGGTGACATATTTTTAGAATGTGCACGTTTCCTGCACTTTCAGAAGAAGACAATACGATGAAAAAACATGATCTGCCAGGCTTTAAAGAGCTGTGAGAAACTACATCGCCCATCTCTTTGCCTTTATGCCACAACGCAAAATGATTGGTTATATTATTCCTAACAACCATGAGAAGCCCATATTTGGTTTCAGCTAAAAATAAAATGAATTTATTGCATCCGTAAAACAGCCTACGACTACTGATTGGTTTTACATTTCACACATACGTGTTGAATGCACCTGTTGGTTCCCCAAGTGTGGAGAGTGATCGATGATATCCAATGTCTTCGGTGCGGTTTGCTTAAAGCATCACAGAGAGGAATCTTTTTGACCCTTTAATCTTATTAACATAGTAGAGAGTAATTTGAGCCTAAATTTGATTTAAAATGCCTCATTGCCTCACCAGTCACCATTTTCAGGCCTGTGTTTGGTGAGGTGTTTTTCAGCTCTCTTAGTGAGCACCTTCATCTACAAGACATAGTCCGCCTGCTTGTAGGGCTGCAATGTCAGCAGTTGCAATTAATTATTGACAGAGACTAAAGCAGGAGCCGAAGGGGAAAGTTTACCCAGAAGCTCGTCACTTTCTCCTGCTCTGCCATGCACATCGTGGACGAGACAGACTGAGGAACATTCATTATTCAGTGACGCATCAAGGTAGCAGACCAGATTCTAGGTAGGATTGTGGGACCTGACTCCTCAGCGAGCAAGACGGTGCATTGTATTTTAAGAGCTCCCATCTGTTGACTGATTTTTTTTTTGTAATTTAAAGGTTTATTTTGGGGCTTTTCGTGCCTTAATTAAGAGAGTCAGGAGTTCAGAGTGGATAGAGTCAGAAATCAGGGAGCGAGAGAGTGAGGAATCACATGCAGGAAAAGAAGCCACAGGTCAGCTTCGAACCCGGGTTGTAATCACTGTCTGAGGTCCAAACGGCAAAATCTTTCATTTAAATAAATCTGATTGGTTGGAAAATATCAGAAACTTGGTTTTGCGGTTTCTCTTGAGGGAGTAGGTGGTGAGACCTGTGGCTACACCAGCTGAAATTGTTAAACCACCAACAATTCATTACAAGAGAATACAAACACGCATTTCAACATAAATGGGGCGACTGTGGCTCAGTTGGTAGAGGTGGTCGTCTCTCAAGCAGAAGGTCGGGGGTTTGATCCCCAGCTCCTGCAGCTACATGTCTGATGTGTCCTCGGGCAAGACACTTAACCCTGAATTGCTCCTGCTGCTTCGTCTGCTGTGTTTGAATGTGTATGAATGGGATTAGTTACTTTTGTAAAAGAGCTCTGAGTAGTCAAAAGACTAGAAAAGAGCTATACAAGCTCAAGTCCATTATCATTTACCTTAAATGTCCCTTTAGCTCTGAATGAGCAAAGCAACCTCAATGATTAAAGTTATTTCCAATATTTAGAGCTTTATGTTCACATTTCGTTGCAGCTGAACTGTGATCCTTTATGGGGCTTTCTTTGTGGCATCCTGGGAAATGTAGGAAGATAACAAACTAGGGAAGAAATGGAAGTCTTGGTTTGGCTGCTAAACCTGATGATAAAGGATGGAGGGGGAACATTTAGAGCCTCTGTGGACAGCTATTTAAAAAATGTGTTTGCAAAGAGGATTTTAGTTATACTGATAAATGATCTATTCTGGCATACCGTAATCATTAAAATGTCTCCTGCAAGGTTATAGAACAGGTCTGATTACAATACAAAGTAAATATATGTTCAGACAAGCAAAGGTACAACCTTTTTAATGAAGTTGTTGACAGTTGTGTGAACAGTTCAGTGGCTCTGTTTGCAGACACAGAGCAGAAACATGAGCACAGGTTGTAGAGGCGGCTGTGGCTCAGTGGTAGAGTCGGTTGTCTGAAGGTCAGGGGTTTGATCCCCAGCTCCTGAAGACACATGTCTGATGTGTCCTTGGGTAAGACACTTAACCCCAAGTTGCTCCCGCTGCTTTGTCGCACCGTATGTGATGAGTGTATGAATGGATTAATGACTTCTGATGGTCACTTTACTCAGCAGCCTCTGCCATCAGTGTGTGAATGTGTTGGTGTGACCTGTGGTGTAAAAGCACTTTGAGTAGTCAGTAAGAGTCAATAGTCAGATGATTGTTCCTAAAGTCTCATCTCCTCTCGGCGTGCAGGTCAGCTTGCAGTTTAGTGTGACCCAGGGTCATCAAGAGCCCTCGGCACAGGGAATGCATCATCCTCTTTCCTTCCTTTTGAGAAGCTTTTATCTTTTCACTCCCCACAAAGATAAACTGGAAAACGCCGGTTCTGGAGAAAACAGAGAGCAGATAAGACGCAGCTAAGTCGGTGCACCTCATTAAAATTTATTGAAAGAGAAGATCTCTGATAAAAAAATAAATATTCTCTCATTTCCTTTGCCGAGAGGATTATGACGGACAATGAATTCCAAGTGTAACTTGAAAGTGCAGCAAAGTTGTTGTTTTTGTGTCTCTTGTTTGATGATAAAAATAAAAAACTGCCTGAAATGACGCTTCGGTTACTTTTCTGCGTCTTCCTCAGCCTTCCTCTGTCTTCTTCCTCCCCCGTCTGTCTGTCACATGACAACCTTGACAAAGTCACTGTAACAGAGAAGCCATGTTGTTCGATGTGATATTGTTGATTCAGTCTATCTGACTTATTGTTCAGGAACGGTTCCAGGTACGTAACACAATATAGTTAATTGTAGACTCTTCATCTATTAGAGTTCATGCTTCAGAATAATTTATATCACGCTCATTTGGCAGACCCTCTTGAATCATGCGTCATTGTTATACCAAAATTAAACTGGGGGTTTGATTGATTTGTTTGTGTTCATTAGTTTATTTGAATCAGGGACAGTTTACAAAAAATCCCATTAGTCTAAGAAGAGAAGAGATACTTTATACCAGATTTAGCTAACTAGTTAATTTTCATTTGTTGTCCCTGATGAAGGAGAAATTTGTATTATTACTGACTACAGTAGGTACAGTACAGGTAGAAACATGTATTTGTCTTTGTCATATTTCTGCAGGTGTGTAATACCGTGTTCTAAATGACCTAATGTGTTTGCTGCTAATGGGAGGCAGCGTTAGAAGCCAATTTGTCATCCGGCTAATGATGTGTTTGTCTGTGCTGCAGGCTTTTAAACCCAGCCCTATGTCATGGCCACTGGAGTCACCAAGCCGGGCACCTCCAATGGACACCCAATGAAGGCGCAGCTACAAATCATCGGTGAGTCTTTGTAGGCATCATCAAGATGAAACATGTAGTTGTGGTTTTTCACATAGTTTTCAGCTCGCATTCAAAGTGAGGTCACTTCTGTTTAATCATACAAACCGGCCTTTGTATGTATGAGAAAGCTCTATTGGATTCATTGCTTTCATTTCCTTTGTCTGCTTTAAACTGAAAATAAAACGTGTCGCAAAACATGTCGCATCCTTGTTCCTTGACTTATTGGTTTCCTCCTAGCCTTTCTCTCCGACGTGACTGACTCCTCTTCTCCCCTCTTTCCTCTCCACATCTTCTCGTTTCAGTGCTATCAGCGAAACTGAAAGAGAACAAGAAGAACTGGTTTGGTCCCAGTCCGTATGTGGAAGTGACGGTCGACGGCCAGTCCAAGAAAACAGAGAAATGCAACAACACCCACAGCCCAAAATGGAAGCAGCCGCTCACCGTGTGAGTCAAAGTCTAGCCGAGATTACCAAAAACCCGCATGACATTCAGTCACATTTATGATCCCTCAGTACTTCGCTGCAAACAGATTATGTTTTTCATACATCCAGATCTGTGTTGAAGACTTTGTTCTGCAGCCTGCATCCTACAAATCACAAAGTGATTTCTAACACAATGATGAATTTTAACAGAAACCTTTCCCGAGCCTTGATAGACATCTAACCTTTCTTATTAGTCACCCTGTTTTGTTAAATGTCACCTGTCTGGTATTCCAGGAAGCTCAAAACGTCACTCTCTGTTATTTTACAGAAGCTGTCACATTTATACTTTAAAGATTTGAAAGGAAATATCAGGACTTTTGTCTCTTTTAATCACAGCATATGGTGAATTGAACCCACTGTTCTGGGGACTAAAACTTTTGTCCTTGGGCTTCTGAGCGTTATAGACACAGCAGACGAGACACACTGGAGTTAAAGGCTTTAGAATAAGAAGTTTTATCAGTAACAGCAGCTTTATGTCCTCTTCTCCTGAATGTTGTGAAGATTATTACGAATATATTTTAGAGTATACAGCACTCAATAATCAGCACCAGTGGATGGCAGCAAATATTTACATCCTTCAGACTCTGGTAAATGGAAAATGGACTTGAGCTTGTATATTTGTTTTCTAGTCTTCTGACTACTCAAAGAGCTTTTACACCACAGGTCACACCTACACATTCACACACTGATGGTAGAGGCTGCTGTGAAAAGTGACCATCAGATGTAACTAATCCCATTCATACACATTCATACTGATGAAGCAGTGGGAGCAATTCGGGGCTAAGTGTCTTGCCCGAGGAATGGAACTGGGCCTTAAATTGGGATGGGTTTTTATTTGAAGTTCTACAGTATTCAAATCTGTTGAGGGTCTTGGTGTTTGAACTGTGTAAGCTGTGAGGTTTCTTGTTCCCCCCCCCGGAGTTTGGATCATGTGGTTATCATAATGAGTGTGGTTATTTTGAGGTTTGGCTTTGAGGAAGAGGCATCTCTTGGATGACAGTGCTGACTCAGGAGTTTAGCGTTGCATTTCATAATTCGCTTACAGAAAAAGGGAGTTTCTACAGAGCATATCAAAAGTTAACTTCCTTATAATGGTGCAAAACTGCTGGTATAAGATGTGATCTTTCTCTTTGTCAGGCCTGCAGCAATTTTCTCTCTGACTGACTCATCCTCGCTGTGTTTCCCAGAAAGATTAATTTTTTTTGTCTGTAGTGTCACTCTAAGTGCAGGATAACTTGTGTTTGAACAGTTTTAAGAACAGATATGTTTTCTCTGAGTGATTGGCACATGGCAGTAAAATGCAACATGCTGGTGAGAGTGTGTGTCCGGTTCATCTACAGGAATCCTGTTTCGAAACATATGCTGCACACTGAGTGCACTCGCACAGTCCTGACATTTTCACACATCAAATGTCCTCTTAATTTTAGCCCGTCCACGATCCTCTGCCGTGCACAGCGTGCATCTTAATATAGACTTCTCCTACAGTTTCTCTTGGACCCACGGGTGCAGAGCTATTACATAACAAGTGTTTACTATGGGATGTAATCCGACCTGAGCCCGTGTGTCCACAAATGTTTTTGTCCCGGGGCTGCTGAGGGTGCCAGTTATCTAAACGACTGTCATAGTGATGGTCATGGACACTTGCTGTCCTCGAATAGCTTTTGAACTTTATTGTCTTAGGGAGTTGCTTTCAGGAAAATAACGACACTTTTCCTTTAATCAGCCTCTGCTGCTGATTGCAAACTACTCAAACTCTGAAACACCAATGAAGACAGCAGATGAAATGCCCATAAATGTCTTCAAATCATAGCTGCTGATTTTCCTTTTTTTGCAGCAAATTTGGATATACTTGATTTCTGCTGTATTGATGAGTAAAATGTTGTCCTTTAACAATATTGTGTTGTGGTGAAAAAAGGAAATAGGGACGCCAGTGGCCTAGTGGTTAGTTCATTTCTCCCATGTACAGACCAGAGGCTGTAGTTCTCAAAGCAGGCAGCCTGAGTTCAAGTCTGATATGTGGCTACTTTCCTGCAACTCATTCCCCTCTCTCTCTATCTCTCTCTCCCTCTCTGATTTCCAACTCTATCCACTGTCCTGTCTATCACTTAAGCTCAAAATGCTTCAAAAATAAATCTTAAAACAAATCAAAGAGGGAATAGTGCTGACACAAACTGTGATGTAGGAAATGTTCAATTCCTTGATAGTTAGATGAGAAATCAAGAGGAACAGAGCGTCGCTCCTTCTGTCTCCTTAGAACGTCAGTACATCGTGCAATCTGGTGATTTTTCTTTCTTCCTCTGCACAGGATCGTGACCCCGTTCAGCAAACTCGTGTTCCGGGTGTGGAGTCATCAGACCCTGAAGTCAGACGCGATGCTTGGCATGGCCACACTGAAAATCAGTGAGACGCTCAAGTCCAACGACATGAAAAGTGAGTCAATGACACACACACACACACACACACACACACACACACACACACACACACATACATACATTTACAGGACAGCACATAAGAACACATAAAAACACACTAAAGCATCACATGATTCTATGAGGGATTTCAGCTGGTTAAATAAAGTGCAGAGTGCCAAGTTCGTCCTCTATAATCAACTCTTATTAAGCAGCTGAATACTGCGCGGTACAAAGGATGTAATGCCTCTTTTAGTCCTGTAAACCCTTGAAGGTGAAATGTCACATTTTAGGCAGCTGTCCAATCAGTGTTGGTTGTAAATGTTGTCAAATGAAGCAATAGATTCAGCAGTTCATAGGTTCAGGAGATCCTTTGTCCACTCCGCCATCAGACTTCATTACACACAAACCAATAGTAGCAGGTCATGACTGGAGCTGTGGGTGAAACGTCACTGCCTGCCCTTTTCTCCCTTCTCTCCTTTACACCCTAGACATTGGTGCAATAATAAGAACTATTTAGGACTGCAGAGACTTTTCGTATTTCAAGTATCTGTTCATTTTATCTATGCTGTTTTAAATCAATGCTTAATGTTTTAACTTGTGAGCTATGGGATACTCCTCAGTTCCCCCCAGGGAATGAATAAAGTATATATCTATCTAATCTATGGATAAGTTAGGCTGAGTTTGACTGCTTATGCTTTTAGGGCTTTGCAGCAGGGTCGACACATTCAAGCATGCAAAGCAAGCAGATACAAAGTCAACATTCCTCCATTATAATTATGTGGACAAATACTCTTTCTAATTTAAATATGAGTAAATATCTCAGACAGCCAAGACAGTGCAAGTGTAAGATCCACGGCCATGACATCAACAACATCTGCACTCATACTTTGGGATTCCATTTTTGCTGTTTAGCTTATAGAGTAAGTGAAAGCAGAGCCTTTTTGTCAAAGCTGACAACTTCAATCTTCTGCAAGCAACTGTGTTTTTTTATGTGTGCAATCTATATTGAATTGAGAAAGCTATGGATAAGGTTGAACATATTGGAAACATACTTCATACTAATCAAATCTTCCTGTCCTACTGCTATCAGGCATAAAGACCTGTGAGCAGCAGTCCAGCAAAGCTAAAATACAGACAGTTTAATGAGAACATGTACAGATCAGAAGTGGTTTCTAGTAACACAAAGAGGCAGTGAGTCACTCAACTCTTGTGAAGAAGCTCTTTTGTCACCCTCTTTACTCATCCTTTATTTGTGTCCTCCCTGCAGTCTCTGAGGTGGTGCAGACCTTACAGCTGTGTGCAGACAGAGATCAGACAGACGTGGTGGGCGACCTGTCTGTCTGCTTGGACGGCATGACCGTCGACCCCGAGATGTTCGCCACCGCCGAAGCCAACAATCACAGTGAGTCACACAGCAGAGCTGAGCAGAGTCTTATAGAAGCATGCAGGAGCAGGCAAGCGTGACTATTTTAAGTTTAGGATTAACTGTTAAAAATACAGTGAAAACAGTCACTCTGCTGCACGTGGGGTTCCCAGGGAGACAGAACATGAGGATATTTATGAGTGTATTTAAAATGGTTGGTATCATTTAGTTGTCAAACCAGCAAAAGTTTGTTTTCATATCATCAGGATAAACAAAAACAAAAATGTCTGCTTAATCAGTGCTGTTGTCATTTTTTACCTCAGGTACATCAAATGGGGAAACCCTGAATGAACCCAACGACGATCATGCTATAAGGTAAAAAAAATAAATGTGATTCCCGTCCCCGCTAGACTTTTTATCACAGTCCTTGTTCCTCATTTTCTTTCCCTTCTTCCTCCCTGCAGGCGGAGTCGAGACAGCTCTCCAGCCGTTGACGGTGTAGAGCACAGGTCATCTCCTGCAGGTCGGAGGTCAGCAAGCAACACAGGGTCTCCCTCTGTGTCATCAGGGGTCTCGAGGCCTCTCAGACCTCCCCGACCCTCAAGACCTCCTCCTCCAACCCCCCGAAGACCCAACTCTTCACCAGGTGAGACTTTTAGTGTTGGAAAGGTTTGATCTGTTCAGACACTGTTCAACTCAGGAAAGGAGAGAATCAAAGATCAAGTGCTCGTCTCGCTGCGCCGACTCTTGACAGCAATCCAACCAATGACAAACATTTATTCAGCTGGAGCATGCACAGCTAACTGGAAAAAATATGTTAGTATTAAGTCTCTGAAGACCAAACACTGGTCTAACATCAAGACAAATGAAGCTGCAAATCCAGCTCACCTTGGTAAATGATATTATATTTGTGTCTAATTCTTGTTTAGTTATTTATCTGTATTTACTCTCTTGGTCTAAGGATGTAAGATTTGACCCTGAGCTCTCTTATTCCTTCTCCAGCATTATCCAGTAACGGCTCTGCTGCTGATACTAGTGATGGTCAGTCAGTTCCTGATACACCCGTGCGAACGGCGGCCTCATCAGCTCCGGACTCAAGTCCATCACCGGGATCAGACAGGAACTCTGGAGCCACGGCAACCAGACAGCCAACTAGCAGCATCACCCCGGCTGTCACTCCCAGAGTCCCCGCTGTCAATGCCGCACCGCTGCCCCCTGGGTAAACTCTCATTTACTCATCCTTCCAGAGGAGCGTGTTTTTCTTTATTGAGCCGGATATGTCATTAGAGTATTATCTAATCGGCCGATGTCATTCTGAGGAGTGATGGCATCATAGTGCCAAAGCCAGACGGCTTAATATGTTTGCAAAGACCAAGTGGCAACCTCGGGGGAAAAAATGAAGCCAATGCAGAAGCAAAAAAAATAAATGCAGTTCATTGAGTGTCCACTTGAGGCTGGCTCCAAGAGCCCCAGAAGTACACACATTTTAATAAAGCCTGTTCTTACATAAATAAACATGTTAACAGCCTGGTCTCTTGGGCACAAACTGCACGGGGGGGGGGGGTTTAATGAACGATACAAGTTATGCCTCGTTAGGTAAGTAGCTGACAGGATGGTGCTTGGCCTGTTGTTACGTTGTCTGAGACAGGATTGCCAGCATGGCAAAGACACAGGACAAGCTAAAAAGTAGAGATCAAAGAAGGGTAATATTTTGAGGGTTGCAGGTAGTCTAGTGGTCACGTGGCCCAGATTCAAATCCAACCTGTGGCTCCTTTCTCGCTTGTCATTCCCCACTCTCTGTCCCTGATTTATGACTCTATCCACTGTCCTACCTCTAACATAAAGGCATAAAACCCCCAAAAATAAATCCTAAATAAAAGGCTAATCTTTGAGCAAAAAGTCATACTCTGAGAAAAGTTCACTCCGGCCCTACAAGAAGACAGAATCTTTGAGCGCTTCTTGTTGGCTCTCTTCTTAATGCACAGACAGACGCACAGAGACGAGCGCTGAGGACCAGAATAATGTTGATTTTCCAGTTGGTTTGGTTTCAATTTCACTTTGAGTGTTTGCTGAAAACCTTATGAAAATATTAACAAAGCAGCTAGGACTACAGGGTTATTGACAAATGTGGGAAACATGTTGTCGGACACGCAGAGCTCGTCATTATGAACAGGACGACAGACATGTTGCTTTCAAGTACATAGAACAACACACAGGTGTGTCCTTGCATGAGTAAACCCAACACACATACGCCATTATACACTGTCACTACGTTTGTGTCTAACTGACTCCAGTGTCATTACTGCTGTGTCAGTGCCGTCACCGTGACAACACTGTGACTTTAGGAGGATGACTCATGATGTAATGGCTGCTCTGACACCCACAGATAACCTTAATGGCTTAGCGTTACATAATGTTTTACTGCTGTTGTTTGATCTCAGGTGGGAGCAGAGGGTGGATCAGAACGGACGGTTGTATTTCGTCGATCACGTGGAGAAGAGAACGACGTGGGAACGCCCTGACCCGCTGCCCCCTGGGTAAAAACTCCTCCCCCTTCCGTCTTTTCTCTGTTTAATCACACACAGGTAGTTTATTTCGGCAAGTTTCCTACCCCCCCACCCCTTTTTTAATTCTAAAATGAAAACAGTTTCTCATGGTAAAGTCAAAAAGACTCTGCGTCATGCCTTTTATTAATGATCATAACACAAGCTGTGCCCTTCAACTTTCTCCCACATTGTGTATCTACCAGTTTTGCTAACCACGCCTGAGCAGAATAATCATCATCATCTCTACCTCACTCTAAAACATCACTGGACTTTGATGGCATGCTTTGTGTCCTCTTTAAGTGTTTTATTACATGGAGAGACATAAAGTCATTTCACAGGCGGTCTGCCGGTCATGTTTGTTGTGTTAGGTCATTATCTGAGCTGTAAACTCTGAATGCTATGTCGTCTCTCAAGGTCCAGTCAAGAAGTCCATATTTTACCTTTCATTTTGAACCTGTGGATATAATTAACTCGGCGCACTATGCAGCTAGTTTCTGTGACCTGTTCACCCACTACATTAACATTTTTATGTGACTATTAAGCTGTGACGCATGAACTGATGTAGCTTTGTCCGACACCCTCCTGCTTGAATCAGTTAATGTGGACGACGTCTGCCAACACCATATTTTGTCTGTTTTTTCCCCTCCTCCATCACGAGCTTAATCCTGTCATTGTTCATCAAAATACAACACAATACTTTATTGTCACTTAGGGGGGAATTTGTCATCACAGCTTGCACAGTTGGTACATATAAACATGTTACAGGAAGAATCACAAAAACGGTGCTACAGAAATCAAAGAAGCCAAAACAACAGTCAGAGAGGAAGCTTGTTAAGAGCTTTAAAAGTTAGAGGGGACAAAGCTCTATTTTAATACGTGCCCTCTTCCATGTCAGAGTCCTGTATCTATGGGAAATGCTTAACTTTAACCGTTATCTTTTCAGAAGTTAGGATAGTTCTTAAATTAAATATAGCCATTCAAAAATTCTTCATTTTCAAAGTATCTGTGTGTCATACATGATGACTCACATAAACTAAAAAGCTTTTAGTAGCTGAAACAATCCTGTCGTTCCTCCTCAGGTGGGAGCGTCGCGTCGACCAGATGGGGCGGGTCTACTTTGTCGATCACATCACAAGAACCACTACGTGGCAGCGCCCCACGGTGGAGTCGGTGCGTAACTACGAGCAGTGGCAGCACCAGCGCAGCCAGCTGCAGGGCGCCATGCAGCAGTTCAACCAGAGGTTCATATTTGGGGTGAGACTTCCTTTGTATCTGTTACTGTGACAACACGAGGCGATGTGGGCGTTTACAAACTGACGAGCAATGACTCATCAGCCTGCTGGTTTTTGTTAGGGATAAAACGAAATGCATCACAACCACAAGAGAGTTTTGCAAATGAGACCTCTTGGACTCTTTATGACACCTCAAACATTTACTGCCATCAAAGCTCACTGTATCCCACTTCAAACACTTCATCTGCATCCATGTCATTCTGATTCATGGCCATAATTCTGATTCTCTGCTCTGCAGCTACAGGACCAGGCTGCAGCCACTCAGAATAAGGAGTTTGATCCTCTCGGGCCTCTGCCACATGGATGGGGTAAGATCTTTAATGCAGAGCCTTCTGAGACTTTGATTTTACACAAGTGTGTTGAAATAATCCACTTAACTTTCTTCTTTTAAAATGTAGCAAAGGAGCTTGTTGTAGGAAAAGTTCTAGCAGCTGTGTAACTTTGGACCTACTTTTGTAACTATGTGCAAAGTCATCTCAGCCATGGATTGCTAAATTAAGGAGTGATGCCAGGTTATAATCTTACTCATGAGTAAAAGTTTAAAAACTAACAAGATATGAAATGTGTGATGTAAAAACAGGAAGCCATGTCCCCCTTTCCCTCCTCGGTCATAAAACATGTGAAGGATCGATAAAATGAAGGTTCTTTTAATCTGGCTCAGACTGCAGGATAATCAGTCCTGATTTGAGGTCTGATTCCTCCTTCCCAACACTCCCGGGGTTGTTCCCGACTCAAGGCTGCTCCCCACTGATTATCTTCCCAGATTACCTTGTGGTGTGAGTCATTTAAAGATCCAGTCTTAACATCAAAGATCTGCTCTGAAATCATTTGGGGCGCCACGAGAGACGAGGCAGGACATTAATAAGAGGACAGTAGCAATGACCGGCTGCAAGATGCAACCTGCATGGGTGCACTGGACAACTGTATCCATTGGAGAGATATTTCTTCACCCACACGTCTTTGTTTTTTTTGTTTTTTTTAACGTTTAAGTCCTCTCTACACAAAGCAATATTAATGCAAATTTAACTGCCAACTGCATTGTTTTAAGTGAGGTCACTTGAGGTGGTGCATTCCTCCAATGGGAACCATCATCTTAGTGAAATCCTGTATTCTGGGATGTGCCATGATTTTCATATGTCGTAGTGTGTGCATGATCATGGAGAAGAATATCTGTTAGGATTCTCCACATGTGTGTGATGCTACCCAAATTCTCCTGCAGTGTAATATCTTAAAGCTTCACAATTTTTGAATAAGTGAAGCTTTTTAAAGGTAGTAATGGTATGAACTGCCTAAAAGTTGGCTGAACCCATAATAATGTGATCGTGACTGTGTTTTTGTTTGTTTTTATTTTAGAGAAGAGAACTGATTCAAATGGCAGAGTTTATTTTGTACATCACCCTACGAGGGCAACACAGTGGGAGGACCCACGAACACAAGGGTAAGTGTGTGTGTGTGTGTGTGTGTGTGTGTGTGTGTGTTGTGTTTTTGGAGGGGGGTTCGCTTAATGTGACAGTTTACTTAATGTCAATGTAATTGAATTTTCTTTCAGGTTGCTCAATGATAAGCCTCTACCTGAGGGCTGGGAGATGAGGTTCACTGTCGACGGTATCCCTTACTTCGTAGACCACAACAGAAGAACGACCACCTACATCGACCCTCGCACCGGAAAATCCTCACTGTAAGTCCTCTAACATTTTCTTCTCTGCTGTATCGAAGGGTTGAGATGTGAAGCTGCCAATTCAGTGTAACGTTCTCACTTAAAGAGACATCAATTCACTGGTCATCTTTATGTACTGCTGCTTAGTGTTGCTGTGGCAGAATTAAGTTTTGACAACTCACACATTTCAAATAACACTGAAGTCATTTTCAGTTTGTAGGTATTTTACTGATTAGATCTCTGAAGGCGACAGACTCAACTGTTGATATGAAACATGTCACCGTTTGGGTGTCTGCAGCGCCGGGCTCTCTGACAGCTACTTTAGTAGAAGCGTTCTCGGCTAGCTCGATGATGCTTGTGAGAGAAGTTTTCTTTCCTGCACACATTCGACAACACACTGCTATGGTCTTAATTTTAATGTAAAACTCAAGCATGGGGAAAATAATGTGTTACACTCTTTCTCCCAGGATGCTGCTGTGCTGACATTAACATAACCTCATGCGCCGAATCGATGTCATTTCACCTTCATTTGTTGTCTGCTGTTTCACATAAAGTAACGAGTAACGCATGCTTTTAAATGTCAGTAACTGTTACAGCGTTATTGCATCTTGAAAGTAACTAGGTGCGTTTCTAGTTGCTGCAAATAGAAGTGCAGTTACTTAGCAACACCGGTGATTAAATACCTAGGAGGTTAAAAGAGCATCATGGATCATGGATGCCATTTTTCTGTTAATGTCAGTGACCTTGTCCGACAAAAAGGAACAAAGAGAAGTAACCAGCACCTAACGTATGAAACAGAGGTGGAAAAACAAAAGAAGCTAAGAGCCACTGTCCTCCACGAAGGAAGTCCTGTAGGCTGCATTGAAGAAGAAAAGCAATAAACCTTTAGGAATTAGATGAATTACCTCCCTTCATACCATTAAACATGTTTCCTGCAAGACCACTTTGGTAGATTTATTTTTCTCATCAACATCTCTGTTTGTACTTAAAAGCCCAGGATGCCCAGTAAATAAGGACCCAAATGAATTGCATTAATTGTGTTAAAAATAAAGCTCTCTCTATCAGCAAAAGAAGCCAAAACCACAGATTCATGTGGGCAAACACAGCAGACTCTTCTTTAGGGAGGTCATGTGCATTAGTAGCTCCTTGGTAACTATAACATCTCGCAGGGACGTTGCCTGGAGTTTCTGTCAATAAACATTTAGCTTGAGTTTTTCCTGCACGTCTGCATGCCACAGATGATTCAGTGATGTGTGTTTCTGGTCAGGGAACCCCACCTCGCGCTAATGTCAACCTACTCTTAAGAATAAACCCTGAAAAAAAAGAGCGTTAGGAAAATCTATTTAAAATCACCTAAAGTTAATGGGTGTTTGATAATAACTATACTAGTAAGCAATAATAAAGCACCTCACTTGGGCACTCTTCTTCAACAGGTAGTTTAGTTTCAGCAGATTGTAATCGAAACACGTCACCTCTTCTGTCTCTACTTTAAGATCTCATGACGCGTCGTCCTGATGTGACTAATGTGTCACCGGGTCTCACCTGCTTTCATTCTGTCCTTCTCTCTGATGCAACACGTCAGATAACTCAAGATAATAACGTGTGTGCAGAACATTACTCAAGGGTAATTACTTTGGTTCGGTTTCAGGGGCAGATGAACTGGTTTGATGACTTTAGAGAAGAATGTGTCTGCATGAAGTGACGGGAAGAGAAGCACAATGGGCAAAACATTCCTGACATGTTTAAGCTAACCTTAAATAATAGTAGTGTGATGGAATACTTTATAACAAATATAAGGGAAATTCTGTTTTAAAACGACAATGATCATCATCTCTTAAGAAGTTAAGGCTTTCACACTTGAAAAACTCCTGATATTACCCGGAGGAGCTGCATGTATGAACGCAAACAAACTATATTTTAATTCAGACTTCACCCGGAGTTTCTCCTCCCAGTCCCCTAGTATTTTTTCTGAAGCAAGTCAGTGGGCTGATGTGAGAATGCAGCAGGATATTATGAGAAGATGTGTATAAACTGTGACTGCTGCACGGTGCATAAAGTGTCCGTGCGACCGCTAAGACCTCTGTGCACGGCTGCATTAGGTTTTCTGTTCTTCAGTTTGTTCTTCTCCGCTCTTTTGTTGACATTGTGATTCTGTTGAACTACACTAAGCATTAATAAAAAGGCAGATATTCTCATCATAGCATCATATAGCAGACTCTGTCGCTTCGTTCCGCTACTTCCGCGTTTTCTTTTTTTTGTCTTACCTCAGGAGAATAATGTTGATGCTTTAAGATGTTCAAACCATTTTAAAGTCGGTCTCTGCTGCTTCTCTCTCTCGCAGTGAAAACGGACCTCACATCACCTACGTTCGAGACTTTAAAGCCAAAGTACAGTACTTCAGATTCTGGTGCCAGGTGAGATCATGACAAGAGTTTTTCTCAAATGTGTTTTTCTGTCCAAACGGTTTTGAGTTGTTATTAAATCTAGTGATACATGTCTCCTAGGTGAATGCACTCACCTCCTTTATACAGAGTACAAGCTGCTGCCATTCAGTGGCAGATATACTCTGCCTAGGTGCAGGACAAACACATTTAAAAATGAATTTAGTACCTTTGGTCTCCTCAACAGACTCATGTGAATCCCCCCCCCCTTGATGCTTGTATTTTAGTGTTGAACCTTGAACCTACTACTGGAAGACTACAGCTCTTCATATTACTGCAGCCTCGTTGGATTGTATTTGATTTTGTCACCACATCTGATATTTTATTTTCTTCTCCCTAGCAACTGTCCATGTCTCAACACATCAAGATCACGGTGACAAGAAAAACCTTGTTTGAGGACTCCTTCCAGCAGGTAGACTGATCCGCTCTAACACGCAGACCATTGTGATTATACGTTTGCCCATTAAGTTTTTTGCTTTTTACGGACAAGTTTGATGTTTTGCTCGAGTAAGAGCCTTTTTCCAGGACAAGTGACGTGATTGGCTGTGGATGTGTTGAGTGTTTATAGAAGTGTAAAAAGCCAATGAGTCAAACAAATGACTGAATTAATCAACAGAGAAGAAAGTTGTGTATTTAAACTAGAAATCTCTGTTTTAGATAATGAGCTTCAACGCTCAGGATCTGAGAAGAAGACTCTGGATCATCTTCCCTGGAGAAGAAGGCCTCGACTACGGAGGCGTGGCCAGGTGAGTTTAAAAAAAAAAAAAAAAAAAAATGCATGAATACAAATGGTTTCAAATGTGTGCTCACGTGGTGGAGAACATGTGTTATTGTGTTTCATATATGTTGTGTTTGTGGTAGTTCTCTGAATGATGTCACAGATCTTTTGTAAAAGATATCTGTGATTTTGAGTCTGTGTCTCGTGTGTGTTGTCCTTTCTTCCAGAGAGTGGTTCTTCCTGTTGTCACACGAGGTTTTGAACCCCATGTACTGCCTGTTCGAATACGCCGGTAAAGATAACTACTGCCTCCAGATTAACCCCGCCTCCTACATTAACCCCGACCACCTCAAGTATTTCAAGTTCATAGGACGCTTCATTGCCATGGTTAGTTATTTCTATTCAGAGAATCATTTCCTGAAATAAAACCCAACGACATCTTTAAAAAAAAACAAAAAAACATCTTTCTGTCTCTTCAGGCTCTTTTCCATGGAAAGTTCATCGACACTGGTTTCTCGCTGCCGTTTTACAAGCGCATCCTGAACAAGCCGTTGGCCCTCAAAGACCTGGAGTCAGTGGACCCCGAGTTCTACAACTCCCTCATTTGGATCAAGTGAGTACACAGAGCCACGCGGACAACAAAGTGAGAGATGTGCTGGTTTTATTATTTAATATACCTAGAGCAGCTTCAGTGGATCATCTGACTTGTGGCTGGCTGACTCTGAGTTTTCTTAGATAAAACAAAGAGACCTCAGATATTTGTCTTTTTTTTTTTCTTAAACACAACAGAGTTCTTCTTGACTGTATAAGTCTGATTATAATTATCTGTGTAAGAGCTGCTCACTGCTGATATCCATTTAGTCCAGAAATTATTTGTCTTTTTTAAAGAGATATTTTTGGGCCTTTTGCCTTTTTTGGGAAAAGGAGACAGGAAATGTTGGGAGGAGAGAGTAGGGGATGACAGGCAGAAAAGGGCAGAGTTCAGATTCAAGCCCTCGGCCGTTGCTGCACGGACTATAGCCTCCTTATGGGGCGTGCAACATAACCACTAGACTATCTGGCACCCTCTTGTTTGTCTTCCCCAAATCTTCAAGATCCAACCTGCTTCTGAAATTCAGTAACCAATAAGCAGGAGGAAAGCAGAAATTGTGCTGAAGATTTTCTTCACTTAAGGCAGCGTTTTCTATAATGGGGGATACCAAGACAGTAAAGTAGAGTATGAGGGCTCAACAGCACGATGACTTATGGGTCATTACCTCTCCAAAAAAAAACCTAGATGGCCTGGAGGTTAAATGTCTGACTCTGAATTTGTAGCCATGTTTGTCATATTTTGGGGGGGAAAGTTGAACTTGCAATAAACAAAATGAAGTCTGTCCTAAAGCTACAGACCTGGAGATACATTTGTCTGAATTCTGTCTCCACTAAGTGCTTGTCCGTTTTAGTTGTATTAATGACTGACTTTTTAAGTGTTTCAGTGCCTCTTCAACTTGTGAGGGAATGAGTTTCAGGAGAACTGTATTATACACAGAAGTATTAAATCTCGGCCGACGAGAACTTACATGAAGCAGTGCCTCTTATATCTAAAGGTTCTCGTCCTGGAAGTAGATAAATAGTCTCCATCCTTTTGTTTGACGTGTAGGTTTTACTGCTGGTCCAAATCAGGCTCTTCTCTCAGCTTAATATTGATTATTGGATTCTGAACAAAGAGCCACGCTTCCCTTTGCTCACCTTTTTGTCAGGTTGTGTGTCTCGGGTCAAATGAATGCATGTCAGAGGAGGAGAGTCGGGGTAGAAAAGCAGTGTATCGATCTTAGACCTCGATCTCCTGGGAGTCAGAGCAAGTCATGTTCAATCAGGGAAGCTGTTAATCCTGAACAGACAGAGAGTGGATCTATCTCTCTGAAAGATACAGGCCGTGACCTTCTGAGCTCTCATGTGCAGCTGACCTAATGTTGAACTTTTAATTACCTGAAGGTCAGTTCACAGACTGCGTTTGTTACCATGGTTGTCAAAATGTTACAATGTTGTGATTCTTTTCAGAAGCATTTGTTGTAAAACGACTCGACCTCCATTACTTTAATGATCTTATGGCATCAGATCTTTAGTCACATTTTGAAACAAAGGCTGCTGCAAGCTGGAGAGAGAGCCAACGTGTTTCGGAACGTGACGTTTAAACAGTGTGCAGGAGTTTGCCTGCAATTTTTGGGGAAAAAAAAAATTAATTACCGAAAAATGAGGACTTGTCTTCTTGTTGCTGTGGTATCAACACAGGTACCAGTAAGTTTAAATCCTGCGATCTTGTCAACCCTCGTCGTTAGAGTTGGGCTGTAACTGTCCGCTCTTTTCTTCAGGGATAACGACATCGAGGAGTGCGGGCTGGAGATGTTCTTTTCTGTCGACAAAGAGATCCTGGGAGAAATCTCCACCCACGAGCTGAAACCAGGAGGAGGAGACATCCTGGTCACTGAGGAGAACAAAGAGGAGTACATCAGGTGGGTTTGTTTGGATTGAATTCAACCTTCTTTTTCAATGAGTTGAGCAGAAAACTTTGGGTTTTGTGTGTTTGATGATTTGGAGTTTAACAGCTGTATGTCTCCCCCTGCAGGATGGTAGCAGAGTGGCGGCTGTCGCGAGGAGTGGAGGAGCAAACGCAGGCTTTCTTTGAAGGCTTCAACGAGGTCCTCCCCCAGCAGTACCTGCAATACTTTGATGCCAAAGAGCTGGAGGTGAGGACGGTTTGGAAGAGGGATTCCTATTTCAGAAATATAACCTGATTTCACTGTTTTGAGATTGATTAAGAGGTTGTATGAATGTGAAAACCTGTGTCTTTTTGCAGGTGATGCTGTGTGGTATGCAGGAGATCGACCTTGCAGACTGGCAGAGGAACACAATCTACAGGCACTATGCTCGAAGCAGCAAACAGATCGTCTGGTTCTGGCAGGTTAGTTTGCACCAAACTTAAGTTCAATGAACAGAGACTTGAAGGATATCAGAACTATACTGAGGGTTTATGTACAGGTAACAGACATCCTGCAAGCAACTCTTATCTGGGATATAAATCATTTGGTATCCATGTTCAAAGTGAATCAGCAGAGTGAAGCTTCTTAAGTTATGCAGATTGTGAGATATGAAGAACATACAGAAACTGAAAGAAATGAATTAAAAACAGCTTATTGATGCATTAAACAAGATTTAAAAAGCACATCTTTCAGCACTTATTTTCCGTTATACTGTTTATCTAAATCATACCTGATGATATGTATCATCTGTCTTGTGACAGTTATTTTTTTTTATTTTTTTCAAAATATTTTTATTAAAGCAAAATGTTCAAAACATACAGTGCAATTGGGAAGCGGTCAACATTTTTCTTTTTTCCTCAGAAACATTCAAAAACCCAGTATCACTTCGCCCTGTAAACAACCCTCCCAGACCGACAGTTATGTATTTTAACACGATGTGTTCTTGTGTCCTTTAGTTTATAAAGGAGATGGACAACGAGAAGAGGATGAGGTTGCTGCAGTTTGTCTCCGGGACTTGTCGCCTGCCTGTCGGAGGCTTTGCTGACCTCATGGGTAAAATATCAAGCAATGTTATCTTTTTGAAATTAGAGCATTTGAGTTTGAACACCGATTAAAAATGTATATAAGCTGTTGGCTGGATAATTTTTTAACTATGTTTTATTTTCTATGCACCTCATCACCTTTTCTCTCTTGTTTATTAAGAACTTAGATTTGCACCATGGGGGGGCGCTGGTAGCCTAGTGGTTAGTGTGCACGCCCCACGTACAGAGGCTATCGTCCTCCAAAGTGTTTAACAAAGTAGATCCTTGACTGTTTGTTGTCTTTTTCTCCCTGCAGGAAGCAACGGTCCCCAGAAGTTCTGTATTGAGAAGGTGGGGAAAGAGAACTGGCTCCCCAGAAGTCACACATGGTGAGTTTAAACAATCTGCCTCTTAGCGTTCTGCTGAGGTTGTGACAGAGCCAAGTCTATTGGTGTTTTCATATAGATGCTAAAATGTTAGGGTTGTGCTGCATGTGTCAATGCAAGCTCTTTATGTTTTCCCCCCCCGACTTAACCCTAGCCCACATGTAAAATGACGGCATGAAGTCGGGATGAACAGATTTATGAGTTAGAAAAGTTCAGTGTGAAGTGAGCAGGTGGGCTGATTATGTCATTGTGCTAAAATGGAGCTTCTTGGTCGATACTGTGAGTTTGTCCAATTACACGTCGCATTGATATAGAATCAAAAAACTGTCATTATTGTGTCGGGAGCTGTAGCTTTGTCCGCCATGTCTACGCCCTCCTTATCTTGTCCTACCTCCTGAGACTACCCGTCCTGTCCTACAGGGAAAGTCTCCTAGCTGTGCAGCCTCTCCTGAAACTCTTAAGACATTTTCAGGAGTGCATTAGTGAAAACGGCTAATGTCTGTAAATGCTGGACCCTGAACAACAACAGTGTTGTGATGTTTTTGAGGTCATCTTAATTATCCTCCACCTGACTACTATAAATCTGATGTCAAGCTGATTTTAAAGCACGTTTTGTATTTCCATTCCCCAGCTTCAACAGGCTGGATCTGCCCCCCTACAAGAGCTACGAGCAGCTGAAGGAGAAGCTGATGTTTGCCATCGAGGAGACGGAAGGCTTCGGACAGGAGTGAGAAGGAATCTGAAGGAATAAGATACCACAAGTGTTTAATTCAGGGAGCCTCTGCAGAAGAGGCGGGTGGTGTTTGATGTGTTTGTGCCCATGCTTGCATGCATGCACACACCTGTAGGGTTACCTCCACGGGTGCGTGCATCGGACTGTGGCCTGCATGTTATTGCAAAGCAGAGCTGGGATTTCTTTTCTTTTTTTCCGTCTACTGTGTGCGCTGTGCTTGCAGCAGGTCTGAGAGTTTCGTATTCTTCAAACCAAAAACACAGACGCTGCTCCTGGGTCTCAGAATGTGCGCCACATTATGCATGGGATCCTGAAAAACTCCCCCTGTGACATCTGTTTAAGGGAATGCAGTAGATGTGTCCTCCATACCTGTGATCATTTAATGACAGGCAACAGGGTAGGCTTTGTGTTGGACTCTGAATCTCACAGCAGTGTCTTGTCGAGGCGTCTTTGACAAACTGATTTCTTTGTATTAAGTGTGTTTGTACTAAAGCGTCTGAAGTGAAGAGAGGCAGGATTGAAAGGATGTGATTGCTTTAAAAAAAAAAAAAAAAAAAAAAAAAACAGGGATAAGTTTCACCAAAAAAAAAATCTGATGTTGCTTTAAGATTGTTTGTTGCATTTGAATTAGTTGCATCTTACTTTTCTATCCACCTCATTGTCCTATCCTCAAACTTCTCACTGTTTTGGTAAAATGACGAGGGTGCACTTTAATGACTTAGTAACAAAGAAAAATACAACAATATAACTTTTGAATTTACGAGAGTGGCGCGTTCCAACTTAACACTTTAGTAACAGACAATCTCGGTGCTTCTTCGAGATGAAAGGCTTCATATAACAGCTTCTGGTTGTCATGTATTTGATCTGTGAATCATCTTAAAGGTGGAGTCAGTAGCATTTTTCCACTGCAGTTTATAAACACAACATTCAAACTGAGCCCCTCCTCCTGAAGCACACACACTGCAGGACGTAGTGTGTACGTTTTAATGCTTTTACCTACTCTGCAAGCTACCCCACACTAGCACAAGCTAGCTGTTGGTGTTTGGTACCTGCCTGTCTAAAACATCTGCGTATGCGGTCAAAAGCCATCACAAGGTTCACCCTTGTTTTAGATTTAAAAATATATATTCTTCAAGGTTTGCTTTTGGGGTTTTTATGCCTTTATTTAGACAGGACAGTGGATAGAGCCAGACATCGTGCAAAAAGAGAGAGCGGGGAACGGCATGTGGGAGAGGAGCCACAGGTCAGACTCGAACCCTCTGCACTTGGGGCGTGCGCACCGTCCACCAGGCCACCAGCGCCCCAGAACAAGCTTTATCAGCTTGCCGTTTTGCATCACTAGGATTATACATTTTCTCTTATTTGCGGCTAGGTCCAGGTCCGGTTTGAATGTCGCTGAATTGTATCCAGTCCTACACTCACCTGTACGCTGTCATTGGCTGGGGGGAAAAAAACAAAACATGAAAATCGAGACAGAGGACCGGGTCTCTGCAGACAGTTATCACCACACATGTATCGAGGCCCCGAAGTGATGACTCAGCGGTATTATTTATGTACAAGTCTATATTTAAGTTTTTTGGACAAAGCTACTGACTCCATCTTGTACGATGGTGAAAAAGTGTTTAAAGCGTCATTATTAAAAGTGGTGGGACATTCGAGAGGACCCTAGTTTTATAGGGCTGGAGTTGTTGTGGTGCAGAATTGGATTCAAGTATTCGGGGAGAAACTTTTAACTTGTACGTTTTAATATCAGCCTTTAAATCTTAGTTTGATCTGAGGTGGAAATCCATGAGGAGAGGAGAGAGAGTATTTTATAATGAAGGTGTTCAATGCATCGTATTCAGTACCTTACTTTATATGTTCAACAAAAAAAACAACCAAATGTAAGTGAAACCAAATCCCTTCTCTTCAGTTTAGGTCACATTTTAAACGACACTTTGAATGCAAAAACTCTTAAAAAAAACGAGCTCCTTGTACACATGTAGCATTAGAAACCGTTAGTGGCAGACTTTCTTCTTTGAACACTTTTCTTTCCCCGAGCAATATTAAAGAACTAAGGTCTGGCTTGTTACTGTGGTGTTGACTGTGGAACAGTATATAGAACAAAAACATGACGTTTGGTTTATCTGTCTTTACACAACAGCTGATCCTGTTCAGAATATAAGAGGTGGATGTCGCCAACGTCTGATGTTTTAGAGCCTAAAGTAATCAAATGCTCAATATGGCATTTTTCAGGTCATGCCCCAAAAGCATCTGTGCTTTATCATTTATTTTACAGAATTAACATCATGAAGAAAGCTTGAAACTAGCATCTCCGCTCTTAAAACTCTCTTAAAAAGTGTTTTCTGAGGTTATTAATTAAGTGAAGGAGGGTTATCTTCTGCATAAAATCGGACTACTTCTGCAACCAGTGGGGTCGCCCCCTGCTGGCCAACAGAAATAATGCAATTTTTAGTCACTTTAGCGATGGCATTATTTTTAAAAGCGCGAGTCTACATCCACTTCTTGTATACGGCCCTATGCTTCTAATCAACAGAAACATTCAATAAGAAGATTAACGCGGTTTATTTATGTAAAATGAAGAACAGCAGGTTGTGTGGTTGCTCATTTTTGGAGCGTCTATTTTTGAATTGGGTTAATCTAACACTGAAAAGAACAGGTGTGGTTACTGAGGAACATCAAACTCAGGTGCTGATTGTTTGTCAAGGAGAAGCCATTTCCCTCCAACTTCTCTGGGTGCTTTTGTCTCCACGAGCCCACCGAGGTGGTCTGTCGCGTCCGTCATTAGCCTTCAGGTAGCCTTATGTTCACCCTCAGGCGTTGTCAGGTATCCACACCTCGAGGAGTATGACGTGTTCTTTTGAAGAAACTGCACCAGTGTTGCAAATCTAGAAAACGTGAAGCTGATGAATTGTGGCTTAAACTGTGATTTAAGATGCAGGACAACTACTGAGACAGATTCAGTGAGTGTGATCAAAATGAATGTATCATGATGAAAACTGAATCGGTAAAGTTGCCTCTTTACATTTTTTTTTTTTTTAACCCTGTGCTGTTTTAATCTTGTTCTGGGGTCGATCACATATTAAAATCCTGGGATGTAGTGAATAAGAACATGTGTAAATATCATAATGAAGTTGCTCCAGAGTGTAAAACTAAACCACTGTCACTTTCCTGTACATGCAAACAAGTTGTAAATGGTGTCAATAACAAAGTTTCTTTTGTAAAAGAGAGGTTTTAATAAGAGGTTTAAATGCTATAACACTATATTTTCTTTTCCCTGGTTTAACTTCTGATGTACATGAAAAAGATGTGTAATATAGAAATTGTCACCTTAATAAATTAAATCAAAAAAATGTGTGTGTGCGTGTCTTGGATGAAGGAACCAGTGTCAGCATTCAGACATTGTGTATCGGTCCCTGAACGTTTCTTAACATGATTTATGATCATATCCACCGTTCTGAAAAGCTCAGCAAGTTCAAGGGACGTGCTTTTACTTTGATAAGCATAGTCTTGTTTTTTTTTCTTTTGAAGGGGAATCCACATTTTCTTTCATGTTTGAACAAAAAAACAAATCCGAGTTTGTCCATCGGGTGACTTCTTCTCTGAATCAACAGTTAAGATGTAAAAGCTTACCAGCATGTAACTGATGAAGCACAACACCAACACATCGACCACTGACATCTGTGCATGCTTCATTATTTGCATATGGTCCAACAGGGACAATATTAACCAATAAGGATGTTCAATCGATACATCGGTGCATCCCTAGTTGAAAAGGATAGTTACGTGACGGTGGGTAAACTAGTTTAGTACTATAAATCGGTCTTGGTCTAAATACTGGTTTCTAGACCAATTTTGGAAGGTCTAGGTCTCGACTCAAAGCATTTTTACTCAACCTTGTCTCAGACTGGGCAGATTTCAGATTGTAAATCAAGACCACCACTGATCGGCTGTTTGTCCACATCATCACTGTGATTAAAAGGAAAACTCCTCTTACTAAAAGAACAAATAACTTCAATTAATTTAGATTTTTATCCCCCTGTTACAGCCGCAACCTTCCCGATTTCACGGGCTAAATGAGTGACACGCCCCCTAAACACATGATGCTCTTGGTCTTATCTCGGTCTTGACTCAGTCTCACCCTGCCTTGGTCTTGGTCTTGTCTCGGTCTCTGAGCACTCTGGTCTCAGGTATGTCTTGGTCTCGGTTAGCATGGTCTTGGTTTTAGGGTAAACCAACGTATAGAAAAAATTGCACGGATACTGAACATCAAGTTTATTTATAAATATGAAAAAGAAACACTGCCACAAGTGTAAGCTTATATAATAATTTAGTGTTTGCGACATAAATCATAGAAAATGTTGCCATTGACATCATGAAACTTTAAATGAACAACTGCAGCTTCACATCAGCCCCCCTCCCCCTCCCCCTCCTCCTCCTCATCATTTTCATTCACAGTAATTAAAGTTAAAACAGTGCAATAATTTAAATAATGTTTTAATTTAAAACAAGTACCTAGAAAATTCCCAGACACTGACAGTTTTTAATAAATTATGTTTGACTGGGTGTGTTTTGGTCCGTTTCCAGGAACGTTCCTACAAGATGATGCTTGAAACTACAAACATGGCTGCTGCAAACAGTTTTGGTCATTGCTCTGAATCTGCTGACTCTGTTCCATGCCGCCATCCTCTTCCCCTCTTTCCGTCTGTCCTTCAGTGTGTGTGATCGACATCGCAGCCTGACAGCCCTCATCATTCCCCCCCTCCTCCTCATCCTCATCCTCCTCATCCACCTCTTCCTCCTCCTCCCTGTGTGTGTCCATCTGCTCCTTTAAGCCGTCCTCCTCTCCGTCTCCCTCCTCGCTCTCTGTCCTTTTTGCTTTTCTCGTGAACCTGCTCCTTCTGCCGTCCTCCTCTTCATCCTTTTCCCCACTCGTTGGTACTCCTTCACCCTCGTCCTCCTCCCCCTCTTCTGTGCCTCCTTCAGCTCCCGTCCCGTTCCCCGCTGTGGGACATTTGTGATCTCTGTAATAGCTCTGTCTGGTGAATCCCTTGTTGCAGGTGGAGCATCTGAAGCGGTAGTTATCTGTGTGGGACTGCTGATGCTCGAGCATGTGAGCCCTGCGGCTGAACGCCTTCTGACAGAACAGACACTTGTAGGGTTTGATACCTGGAAAAGAGAGAAGAGGTTGGTTGGAAGGGAGGAGAATATGTGACCTTTAAAAACAAACAACTCTAAAGAATACAAAAAAATTAATCCAGGCTCATTTGACGAGAAATATTTAAATCTAATCAAAATATCAGACCATCACAAATATATCAAGACACGTTTACTGTTGTCGTTTTTTTTTATTGTTTGTATTATTCTCTTACCAGAATGTGACAGGATGTGGGCTTTGAGTTTGTCTGGTCTGTTGAATTCCTTGGTGCAGCCTACATGTGACCTGAGGGACAAAGGAACATTAAAATCAAATCAAATAACGACACACTGAGCAGAACAAGTGAAGAAACGTCTGAGAGGCTTATACGATGAATAAAAGTCTCACCTAAAGGGACACTTGTATTTCTTGAAAGGTTCATGGATCAGCATGTGTCGTTTCACTTTGTCCTTCCTGTTGAACGTCGCCTCACAGAGGGAACATTTGTACGGCTTTTCACCTACAAAATGTCACGACAAGTTGATCTGATGTGACACTGGCTGCAGGACTTGCCAAAATCATGTAATCAAACTGGCATTTAAAGGGTTAAATTCCTGATAATTAGTCAAGATTTGATAGTTTGGAGCAGGGCTGGAGCTGTTTAAGAGATTTATGCAGAAGAAAAAAATCAATCTGTTCTATTTTTATAGCAGTTTTAGTAAATTGGACATTTTCGCCCTCCAATGTCCAAACAGGGGACTGCATTTCAAATCTGATGCTACACAAAAACTAACAATGCATCAAAGTCAATATTTTGGAAAATCTTTGACATATCCAAGACTGATTAAAAAAAAATCCCCCAGCCACCAAATATTTGTTATATGGAAAATAAGTCATTTTTGTGTTTTTTCTAAAATAACAACAGTGACATCAAGTAATCAAACTGGCATTTAAAGGGTTAAATTCATAAAAACGACTGAATGTTTGGTAGTTTTGAGCAGGGCTGAAGTTGTTTAAGAGATGTCTGCAGAGAAAAGTAGAAAAAATATGAATCTGTTCTATTTTTAAAGCAGTTTTTTGGAAGTGGACATTTTTGTCCTTAGTGACTTAAGAGGGTAGTAAATTCAACTGATGCCTGAGCATTAACTCAGACATCAAAAGAGAATCACCAGCTAAAGTATCAACACCAGCCTGTTAAAAAAAATCAAAACCAGAGGGAAAGGATGACACCTCGAGAAGCCGCTCTCACCTGAGTGAATTCTCGTGTGCAGTTTGAGGTAGTGCTCCGTCTTGAAGGCCTTCTTGCAGATCTGACACTTGAACCTCCCGCCAATGCCGTGTGTGGGGAGGTGGCGTCTGAAATATCTTTCACACGGGAAGACCTGATGGCCACAAAGAGAACAGGTCGGAAACAGGGTAACAAGAAGCAATGTGAATGGAAACTGTAGCGTACAACATCGTAGATCTACGTTTGGTCAATCAGCCCTCTCCATCAAAGGCTGCAAACTCTGGAACACATTACCATCTGAAATAAAATTAATCTCAGACTTAAAATCTTTTACAAAACAGGTGAAATGCTCAAAGCAAGCCAGAGCTGTACCCACTTTTAAATAGTATCTTAAAACTTTATTTTAAACTGGTTTATAGCATTTGTATTGTTGTACATGTATTTTAATGTATCCTCATATCGTGTTATGGGGTTTTATGTAACTGAATGTTGTACATTTTAATCTGTTTGTTTACACAAAGGCCCAACTGGGGACACGAGTTGGAAATTAGCAATAGCTATATACTCTTTATGCAGCACATCAGTTTCATGCTTTGTATTGACATTATGTTAAATTGCATTGTCCCTATCAAAATAAATAAATAAAAATTCAAAGTCTCAAACAGGGACAGTAAAAACCCTGAACATGTGAGAGCACACTTGAAGGCCATGATAGAGGTTGTGAATGATGACAACAGTAACGTATTTAAGCGAGTGTGCAGGATACCTTCTGACAGTGTGGGCAGGGATAGTTGTGTGAGGCAGTCAGTAGATGTTGCTCCAGTGCTTCCTGGGTAGAATATCTGCTCTGACACTTCACACACCTGAGGAGAAACATAAGGGGGGAGCATGGTGTACTGAGCAACTACAGAAAGAGATTTTGTCACAGCTAAAAGAAATGATTTTTTAATGAAATAAAAATGGGTTAAACCCTTACATGCACAGAGGATTGTGGTAAACTTATTATGCTTAGAATAACAAATACCTTAGGTTGCAAATTAAAGATGAGAGTAGTAAATCAGTGTCTCTTATTCAACATTAACTTTGTGTTTATTTTATGTGCTTGCAGTCCAGACGCCGGGACAAAAGGATGCAGGTATTCTCCCCTCTTTTCTACAACTGTGCAATAAAAACATGACAACAAGTGTTGGAGCTGACCTGTAGATGGCGGTTTCTTTGCGCGTGTTCTGCTGTGGGCAGAAGCAGTGGGAGTACTGGTGCACTCCCAGCTCAAAGAGCGAGGAGAACACCTTACTGCAGAGGTGGCAGCGATAGGTCAGCTGCTCCTGGTGCGTCCTGATGTGCTCCAGGAACTGATCCAACTTGTGGAAGGTCTGAGAGCAGGACTTCAGCACACACTTATAAACCTGTGGGGAAAGTGGAAGTGGCTGTCTTTATTGGCATGCAAAATAAAATTAAAAAAACACAAACCTACAGTTTATGATGTTTTATTACGTCTGCTCCTCTGCACTCACCTGCTCCCCTTTGTGCTGCGTCAGGTGGGACTTGAGCTGGAAGTAGGTTTTGAACTTGCTGGCACAGAACTGGCACTGATAGGAGCTGTCGACCACGACTACTACCTGTTTGGTCTGAGCCTGGCACTGCTGGTTCTGGTTGGACTGCACCTGCTGCTGCAGCAGCTGAGGAGGCCCGCTCTGAACGGGTTCCCCCCGGCTGCCCTCCAGACCAGCACAATCTTCAGCGGCGCTCTCCTCCAACTCCCCCGGAGCTTCTGTAATCAGACATTGTGTTAGCTTTAAAACCTGGAGACATAAATCTGATCCTGGGTCTGCAGCTGCTATTGTTTTTGTATATGCTGATCTTATCTTTTTTTATTTTCTTCATTAAAGCCTTTGCACACCCACACAGGTGTCAGTGGGACCGTGGTTAGACCTCTGCTCAGGAATATGTGGGTGTGGAGACAGCTCCACTTCCCTGTTCATTTAGCA